AACAGCTATTGGCTGCGGCAGCTTCCCGCAGCCCCGCCCCGCAGTGCAATTGGCTGTTCGGCCCCTTGGAGCGGGACTCGGAGGGGGGCTCTTCCCAGGGAACAGCCCCGTCTTTTCTCCGTGTCCTGCGGCGCCGCGGGTCGCGATGGGCTCCCGGGTGGGCTCCCAGCTCTGCCTCCTGAGTTCTGGGCCCGAGCTCACGGCGTTATCCCTTTGCTTCTCTCTCGGGGTCTCAGCACTCACCTCCTCCCAAAGAGCGACCTTTTCGGGGAGCTCTGTGCTCACCGCCCGCGCCACTGCAGCTGCTTCCCCGTGACCACAGACCTCTGCCCCTGACCGCACGCGTCCCACATCCCGCTTCCACCGCAGGGAAGGGTTGGCCCCGCCAGGAGGCCAGGGACCGCTCCGAGTGGGGACTTCGCTGGGAGACAGGGGGTTCAGGGGTGAAACGGGGCGTTTTCGCTTCACTGAAACTGCGGGTGCCTCTCAGGGCCGCTCCTGGTCATCTGCCTTTCCCTGCAGAAGTGGGCACCTTCCCCATGTTGTGATCTGGGGAGTTAGAATGGAACGGAGAGCGAGCGCTCCCGCCCCACCTTCACCCCCCGGTCTAAAGCTTCATTCTTCTGAGAGCCTTCCTGGGGGCAAACGAGGGTATGAGGCTTGCCCAGCCTGGAATTTATCTAAAAAGCAGGGTGGGCACGCCACACAGCCTCGTTTGCCCCCAGGAAGGATCTTAGAAGAATGGAAATAAATAAATAAAAAGCAGTAAACGTGTTGGTAATAGTAGCCCCAAGTAAGCAGCCCGGGGAGAATGGGTGGGATTGGTGGGTGACCTGCCACTTTTCCCAGGCATTGCACCAGGGACCTTTCAGGTATATCACACCTCTCGCTGACAGGTTGTTCTCATGAATCCAATGTCACTGGTGAGGAAGTCGGGACCCACAGAGATGAATTACCCCTTGCAGTTCTCAAGGCGTCATATTTCTATCTTGTTTCAGTGCCTTCGGATGTGCTGTTCTCTCTCTGGAGGAACTTTCTGTCCTCTTGGCTAACTTCTGTTCTTCCCTACAGGTTCTATGTAGTCATCACCTCCTCCTCCAGGAAGCCTTCCTTTTGACCCTCCTCAGTCCTTCCTGGCGGTGTTGGTGTCAAGCCAAGTCAGCCTGGGTCCAAAATCCTTCTGTTTTCCACTATATCCCAAAGGGAAGGGCCTGTTACTCCCCGGGTTCTTTCTTAGGGACAATTCTGTTCCTTTCTTAAACCTATCCTTCTCTCACATTTTCCTCTGCTGGTTAGTAGGTGATAGGTCAGGCGGAGTTGAGAGAGCGAGCAGTCCTTGGAGTGTTCCGAGTTCCTTTTTCTCCCTGGCCCCAACATCTTATTGCACCCTCTCATCATTTTCCCTTTCCTTTCTTATCCCCACCTCTCAACCTCTGCCTACAACCTGGATAAAAGCTCAAGAGTAGAACCAAGTTTAATTCATTTTTGTATGCCTCGTTTATGTATTGTTAACATAGGGTTTATGTACTATTGACTGAAAAATTATTTGTTGTGGAGGCTGTCCCGTGCATTGTAGGATGTTTAGCAGAATCCCAGGCCTCTCCTCACTAGATGCCAATAGTTCCCTCCCCCTTGGGTGACAACCAAAAGTCTCCAGATATTGCAAAATGTCCCCAGAGGGGCAATATCTTCTGGGGTTGAGACTCACTGGCTCAGCAGAATTGAATTCATATGAATTTCCAAGAAAGTCCCTGGCTCAAGGCTGAAACTATTTGATTTTGGAATTCTTCTCAGGGTATAATTTGTTAAACTCTTAAGGACTCGTACTCTGCTTTAAAATTCACAACCTACGCCTCGCTCATCACTGCTTCAGTGTGGTAAACCTGCCACAGCACAGCCCATTAGGGCTTCTTAATAAAAGAATCCATTATCCTTCCTTCCCTCTTCCCAATACCTCTCCTCCTCAGCAGTCAGAGCTCTAGGATTGACAGGCCCAGAGCTTCATGTTCTCTTTCGTGAGCCTAGTCAGTCGGCAGGATCCCCAACGGGGGTGGCAGGCAGGAGTGGCCGCTTTTGAGGCTTGTTCCTTTCCAGCCTGTCCGTAGGGCAAAGAGAGCCAAGTGACCTTCAGTTGAAAGTAGGATCGAGGCCTGCTCTCAAGACCCCTCTGGCCCTTATGTAAAGCTTTTCGTTGAGTCTAGAGCTCCACCTGGCTTCACTTTCAGAGAAGGGTTTTGAGAAATTGGTATTGTGGAGTTTGCAAAGAATCAACATGAGGATAGACCTCAATGTATTATCTTTTTCACAACTAGTGGAATGGAAGACAGTAAAGGTCAGACATTGATCTATGATAGGTCCAGAGTTTGTCCTAAGGAGGGAGCTATCTGGAAACAACTACTGGAAGAAGTAACAAGAAACCAGATTAACTGAAAACTTTGAAAATCATGGAATTGGCACACACTCACTTTCTTTTAGTTTGTCAACAATGAGTGGCAGCTATCGTTACCATTAACCACAGAGGTGACCATAAATATACCTGGGAGATAATTAGGGGCTGGTCTATAACTTTTTCCGTCTTTGCAGAGATGGCTCCCATGCTGAGTTATTTTTAAACTTCCAAAAATTCAGGTTTCCTGAGGCCACTGGTAGAGAGAGGGCTAGAGGTATAAATAGGTATATTACAAGGACCAAATATATCTCTTTCCCCATATAAGCACTCCACTGTAATCCATGGAGGTCAGATATATGATTAAATAGGTAACACCTTACATGGAGAAAGTTTAAAAATAAGATGCAGGAAGTCTTAAAATACCTAATTTTTGAGGATATCAGGCAGCCAAGGTAAAGTAGTAGAAAAAGAATAGAATACCCTCCTCTGTCCAAAGTCACGTGTGGGTGTAATGAGAAAACATCTTGCATTCAGAATGTAGAACTAGTTTAGGTTACCAACTAAAGAAGCCAGCTACCAGAAAGCTGCTCAAAAATGGCTTCTCTACTGGCAGTTGAGGAAGAACAAGAAGTTAGACTCATCCTCTGGTTACTTATGATTTAGTCGGGCAAAACCTGACTTAGAGACAAATCTCTGCCAGATTAATCTCTTTCTTCCCTTTGGTTGTATGTTGTCAGGTGCTGGATGTCGGGGTTGTTTGGTCCTAAACCAGTGGTCGGCAAACTGCGGCTCTTTGGCCCCTTGAGTGTGGCCACGAAGTTTCAATTGCACTGTACGTGTGCGCCTGCATGTGGTATTTTGTGGAAGAGTCACACTCAAGGTGCCGCAGTTTGCCGACCACTGTCCTAAACCCTGGGATGCTAGCTTCTGTGCTCTCCAGCTAAGGGTAGTACACGGGGCTTGGGGAGTTTATAATGAGGCTTTAATTTCTCTGCCTTAAGCCTACACTTCTCAACTCCCCAGTGTGGTGGTTCTGAGAAAGCAGTATATTTATACATGCAACGGAGGGGTGGAGTGGGGGATATTAATTAGTGGAATGACCCATGATAGAATAGGGATCCAAGGCTAAGGCCATTCAACATGCCTATTGGTAACTGCTTCAGTTTTTGACATCCTTGCCCTACAGCAAGCTCTTTAGCCTGTTGCCCAGAAACTTCTCTCATCTCTGTATTAGTAGTTCATAGAAGCAAAGAATACTCTCAAGACAGGAATCCATTTAAGAATATTTTATTTATCTTTTGAGATTACATGTTCATTATTGCTGATCTAATACAATCACTTAGACATAAAGATTTCCAAGAGCCTCTTCAGAAATGGTGATCCTTAGAGGTTTTATTTCCTTTCGTTAGATGACAATGAGAACTAGATGGTTATTTATATATATATATATGTATGTATATATAGCTTAGAACTTGTCCATATATGATTTGCTGGTGTTGCCTATTTTCTTTCAATAATTTTCCTTAATTAAAAAAAGCTTAATGCAACAATGCATTCGAATTTCTTTTTTAAAACTGTGACAAAGTTAATTCTGAAAAAACCATAGGAGCAGCGATTTTAGATCTGTTCAGAGAAAAGCCAAGCAGCAAAAAAGCTTTGCAGGAGTATATGGCCATGGGAGCCGTGCTCATATGGGAGGATAGGATGAGGAGGTAGGAGGGCAGAGGGAAGGTGGACCAAATACGTTTCTTTAAAAAAAAAAAAAAGAAGAGAGAAGGAAAACAATTTTTTCATTAAGAAGACAAAAAAGACCTTGAAAACTAGCACAAATTCATCATAGGGAAAATGGTAAGTATTCCCACAGGCCAGGGCCGCATAAAGAGATAATTAGTTTTCTTTCCCATGCTTCCAGATACCTAGGATGCATCTAGGTGAGAGCTTGAGGGAAGAAGACACATTTGCTCTGATTCCAAGGGTAGAGGGAATAATGACCAAATTCCAACTAAGGCAGAACCCAAATTCTCAGGAGGCTTGTGCCTCCTTCTTCTCAATGATTGATGACACAGGATCCCCAGAGAGAAAGAAGTCATCTGGAACTCAGAGGCAAATACCTCATTATGGGCAGCAACACTAGCAACGTAACCTAGAAGCCCAGTGTGGCTCCTTTTTCATTTGGAAGGGCTTGTTCTGTCAGGATCAGCACAAAGGAAGTTCCATAGAGAGCCAGGCTTTGCTGAGAAACAGCAGGTTATGACTTTTGGCCTAAGAACATAATAGGCCAGAGTCCAGATATCTGCCTAAGGAATTTTCTCTAGATATAAGATAAAGTACAAAAATCGAAATCTTTTGCAAAAGGGGTCCAATTAATTAATACAAAAATCAGAACTGGGTAAGCAAATGAAAAAATTAAATAGCCTTGTGGAATTTTCAGCATTTATGACCTTCTTCATGAAAGAATATAGCCATGTATGTGGCTTTTTTCCAGTGCTTGCTAAGACATACGGCCTTTGAGTAATCAGACCATATGGCTGAGCCTATATAGTATCTAATGAAGCAAACGGTCATTTACCTAAGGTCCACCTCCCTGCCTCCAAAAGGAAGATCACTTCCAGAGGGTGTAGGTGAAGAGCAGGGTAAGTTGGAGCAGGTGGAGGTTGGGGAGGAGAATTAGAGTGGGAAGGTTACAGTGACCCTGGGTGGTCTGGTGTTTTCTTGAGTCACCTTGGTCTTGACTCTTTGAGGCAGACCAGGATAGGAAAAAAACAAAACAGGAAAACAAACAAACCTGAGAGTCCAATTAGGGTTGGAAGGGGGAAAGGGGACTCAGTTCATTCAAGATTTGTAGGGCCACTCTAGACTTTAACTCTTACAACTAATCTGGTTCCACTGGAACCCTAAGACCAATAGGTCTGTCTCCAAAAGGAATCAAACTCTTAGGTGGGACATAAAATTTCAGGCTGCTCACATTACTAATTGTTTGTAATGTTGGAGTTACTCAAGAAATGACTTCTGAAACACAGGCCCCTAAGATGGAAAAGGCCAGAACATAAAAAGATACCCTAACAAAGAAGAAATACCAGACTAAATTAGAGACAGTAAATTTCAGTTTCATTGACAGCTGAATGTCCAATGACATTCAACCTGACTTTGACCATCTGGACACAGTTTACAGTGTCATCTCTGTACAGTTAGTTAAGCTGCAAAGATCTTCCCAGGAGACAAATAAATACATTCTGCTTCTTTAGGGTGTCAAGCTGTGGGCCTGAAAGACCTGTCCCATTTCCAAAGCCATACACTCCAAATCCCTTGGAGAGTATGCCTTTCCCTGCTCAGTTTCAGAAGCAGTTTTAGGCAATAAAAGGAAGTTTCAGGAAGCAATGTTCCACATTTCTGAGACAGTGTCAATTTGGAGGGAGCTTCCTGGGAAACTATCCAGTTAAATGACAAGGAAGTACAACCATGGGCCCCAGTAGGGCTGCCTCCCACTTCCTGAGCAGAGAGAGGGCAGTTTGGGTTAGAAAGATGGCAAAACATATGTCTGACAAATATCAGAGATGCTGAGAAAATAATGGAAGCACATTCCTCTTGGAACCAGAAAGCGTTAAAATGGACATAAGTACTTGAGAAGAAAGGAGTCCTGGATAAAGGAGTTCCAGTAAGCACAGGCATAGCTGAGTTCTTGGTGCCGCTTGCCAAAGCTGTAACAATCCTTTCCAACCATTTTATAAAGAAGGCAGTGACAATGATGATGGCTGGGAACCCAGGCCATGTTAATACAGTGGCTTCCAAACAGCCTTATCTGGGGACAAACCAAAGCTGAGAAAAGCAGCTGTTGAAAATGTATCCCAGAAAACCCCAGGAAACAAGGAGTCCGGAATCCCGGGACTCACTCCTGAGCCTGAACAAGAGAAGGTGACCACTGCTAAGGCTTCAGTCAATAGGGAATAATGCAAAAGATGCACTGGGAATGGTTACCCATTTCTTCCCTTCCTCAGCCTGTCCTCTGCGGCTCTCACAGCCCTCGGGGCAGTAACCACTCTGGGCCAAGGCGACAGGCACAGGATTCTAGATTTTAATAAATAAATAATCTAACATATAAGGTGAGCACGGCGGGCAGCTGATTAGAGAAGCAGCTTGCTGGGTTCCTTCCTGTGTAGGAGTGGAGAAAAGGCTTGGAGTTCTATTCCTTAAAACTTCTTCTGGCTTGAGTTACAGGAACTTAATACCTGGAGGGAAAAAGAAAGATGAGACTGTGATGTTATCAGCTTGTGGGGATGCTGGGACATGAAGAGCCTGCTTAGAGGTGTACTAGGGAGGCAGGGACTTTTCTGGAGTGTATGGGGAGGGTAGATAATTGTGTTAAAAAAGCCAGTATTTCTCTATAAAGAGGTAAAAATCATATCAAGAAGATGAAATGAAGAAAGGCAAATTCAGGGAAGGGAACACTAATGTCTTGAGAAAGCCTCAGAGTCCTTTGCGGGTGGCAGCGCGGGAGGGGGGTTTATTTTTCTGATTCCAGGTAAATATGGCGATGATGCAAAGACCAATTCGGTCTTCACTACCCAGGCTTCCCTGATTTCTAGAGAACCCAAGGCACCTGTAGTAATTAGGCTTGAAGGGCCCATTCTTGTTGAGTCCCAGATACTTGGCCTGCTCATCTGTCAGCTCTGTCAGGTGGGCATCAAAGGTGGGCAGGTGTAGGCTGGCCACATACTCATCTGGAACAGACCACAGAAGCCCTGGTATAAGCATTCATGCCTCTTGTCTGGCTGTTCTCTTCATGTTAGGCCTTAAAAAGTTGAAAGACACCTTCTAATTCTTGGAGCTGAATGAAAAACGCTCAACTTTTGCTCACTGGCCCTTAGTTCTAAGGAATGGTTGTCTTGAACTTTGAACCCATAACCTTTCAAAGCCATAACCTTTCTTCCTTACAAGCTGCTTTGGTCTTGAACCTTTCCTTCTCCTCAGGGAGAAATGAAAGAAATAGGCCTTTGGGTCTAAAAGAAAGGATGGGCTAGTGGGAGGACTAAAAAATGGGAAGCTCCAACTTTAGTTCTGCCTCAAACTCTATACCTTGAGTCACTCAGAAAAACCACATCTGGTAAACCTGAAAGGAATGACTAAGGATGATACCACACTTGCTTTCAGTATGTTTAGTTCTCTTATGATTTGTTTACATTCCCTTTCCTGAATGCATGTTACTTATTCAAAATTTTATGTCATTTCCTATGTATTTGTTTGTTCTCCCTAACTTCACTTCATATTCGTTCAGAATATGGACTGCTCTATTTCTTTTATATCCTTCCAAAGTGTCTACTCAAGGAAAACATGTCAACTTCTAACAGCTGCTTTGCATTTAGTGCTAAAGCAAAATGAAACCAGAAGCTGATTTATTCCCCGATCTTTGTGTCAGGAGCTTATAAACACAGTTTCAGTTCAGGTGCTTGAGGCAGGTTCTTTAAAAATTTAAGACAGTTTAATGTTTCTCTTATACAAAACACCCACATAACTAAACTCATCATAGAAGCTATTCAGAAGCTTTCCTTTGGCTGGAACAATGGGTTAAGCGTTAGAAGGCGTAGAATGAAAGTCCTCCGGGCTGAGCGTTTGGTAGGGGCTGTCTAGAACTGGAATAAGTCAGATGTTGCAAGGTAGGAGATGATTCCTCTCTCTTGGGGAAAATCTTTTTCTTCTTTGAGATTCTTACAGACAAGATACTTGACGAGAGAAAACCCTTAAATGCACAGGCAGGTAAACAAAATCATAGCAAAGTGTCGCGGCTTTACTGGAGCAACCCATGTGGAACATGGGATCAATCAGCTAAGGATGGAACCTAGGAATTCTAGCTCCTACTTTACAAGATAAACATCTCTCTCTCTCTTTTTTTCCTGTCCTTATGAAACATCATGGTCCCAAACTCCAGTTAACCTGTGATTCTGAACTACTTTGGTAAGGATGGGGATGGAAGAACATATACTTACCCATTTTCTTGGGCAACAGGTAGACATCCTGCTTATAGCGACCCTCAGGAGCATTGTAAAGCTCTATCAAGGCAAGAGCCTAGGAAAACAGAGAGATGGATGCTGCTGTGCCATTCACAGCCATCCGCCCCATATCAAGTAAAACCCTGATGGTCTCAGGATCCTCTCCAGGCCACTGCTTTCCCACTCTGGAGGCCTTACCTGAGTAGTAGCGGTAATTGAGAGCACAAATGTAGGCACTGTGGAGCAGCTTAGGTTCAGCAGACGGCCCTGGAGAGCAAGGATTACGACACAAACTGGTTAGGACCAAGTCTCCAGCCTTTGAGGAGTGAGGGAAGTGCATGCCTGCCTGTTTCCAAATACTTCCCAATAACATTGCTGGGCAAAAAGCAGGTGTTCAATAAATAGAAATTAGCCCTGACCGGTTTGGCTCAGTGGATAGAGCGTCAACCTGCGGACTGAAGGTCCCAGGTTTCGATTCTGGTCAAGGGCATGTACCTTGGTTGCGGGCACATCCCCAGTAGGGAGTGTGCAGGAGGCAGCTGATCGATGTTTCTCTCTCATCAATGTTTCTAACTCTCTATCCCTCTCCCTTCCTCTCTGAAAAAAACCAATAAAATATATTTTTTTAAAAAAGAGCCAGTTCTTACAGGGTCTCTGGCTCATGAGCTTCACATTAAATAAATAAATAAATAGAAATTAATTGATTGACATTTAAGTGAAACCATAATAAGTTCTGGAGAATTTGATGAAGTTAACAGATAAAAGATCCCTGGGATTACGTAAAAAAGATGGTCACAGATACTGAGTCTTAGGCCAGTCTTTGAACTTCCTGATTCTACAGCAGGATATCCTCCCTCTAAGGCATGGACATCCCTTTGAAAGAAGGTCCTAACTATTGATGTAGTCAAATTCAGGGGAAACTCTCCAGGTTGAGAGGAAAGATTTTTTTTGGATTTAGGAAGCTGTGATGATTCTTGTGCTTCTTTCTCAATTTGGTTCCCCTAAATTCAAGGGCTACCTTGTATTTTGAGTGGGTGATTCAGAGACTAGAAGAGCTAGAAACTGTCTCCAATGCCATCCTTCCCTACTTCATTTCCTAAAAAACTTGACAACCTTTTTTGCTCAACCACAGGCACCAAAAACAATTGGTGACTTGCTTTTGTCACAAGAATGACTAAATGGACCTTCTAGGCAAGTGGTCGGCAAACTCATTAGTCAACAGAGCCAAATATCAACAGTACAACGACTGAAATTTCTTTTGAGAGCCAAATTTTTTAAACTTAAACTATACAGGTAGGTACATTGTTATTAACCTACCTATATAGTTTAAGTACTGTTGATATTTGGTGCCTCCCCCGCACTGTGGATCCTGCGGCCTGCCTGCGCTGCGTCTCCCGACCCACCCACACCCCCCACTTCTTCTAATGCCACTTCTTCAAAATAGACTTGCCCAGGCCGAAAACCGACTTCTGCGCATGGGCCACAAAGTTTCAATCACACTGTACGTGCGCGCCCGCATGTGGTATTTTGTGGAAGAGCCACACTCAAGAGGCCCAAGAGCCGCATGTGGCTCCCGAGCCGCGGTTTGCCGACCACTGTTCTAGGGCAACGAGAAATAAGTCACCAGACAGTGGGCTGACAGCAAAGCAATTAATGAATATTTAACAACCTGTCCCTCCCCTCCCTGTCCAATTCCTTCTTGTGAAGAAATTCAGCCCCTTTATAGATGCTGTAAAGTATCTGAGCAGGTGAGATAAGGTGAGGAAAGTTAAAGAGAACAGGAAGGATACTCAAACTTAAAAGGCCAATGAAAGTCAAGACAAAGTCTGAGTTAGAAGAAGCCAGGAGAGGGAACTATCAATCACACGACCAGTATACAGCTGGGTACATACTGCACGTCTGGCTCAATTCAGGGGAATGGACACTCAAAAATGGAATCTATCATAAAGACATGACCTACCCAGAGCTTGCCTAAGATCGTCTTAGTTACAGCCAGGAATATCTACTTTGTGCTTACTGATTAAATCATCCCACAATCGACATTATCTCTTTGTAAGCAACACTCAGAGTGGCATGGGTTCTATCCATGAATTTCTTTCACAGTAATAGTCATTATCTGACTCAGCCTGTAGAGTGACATAGAGAGACAGGATAATTGGTGAAAAGTAGGGAACCAAAATAGTTTAATTGTCAAATGAAAATGAAAAGACCTTTCACAGTTAGATGTAAAATCCACTGGTAAAGTAGTTAAGCTTGCGCTTAAGAGGAGTTGAAAAGTGTGAGAGAACATGAGGAGGAGGAGATCTGAGAATTGCAGTCTCTCCTGTCAGAGCTGAATCTCTCTTACCAGCCTCAGGTCTTACCTCTGCCAGCAATACTATCCTCTTGCCATCAGGCCATATTACATGGTCAACTTGGGACCTCACTCGCTCCCAGGTCAGTTCTGGTGTCCGCAGACTCGCCTGGAATACATACAGCAAGCAAATCATCAGCCATGCCAGGTCCCACTTGGTGGACAAAAAGTGTTGAAGGGAGCCATTTCAAATAGCAAGTTGAAAGGAGCAACCAACATGCTAGATGGAGAATACCTGTCCTGGGTTGGTTAGGACTGTTCCATTTCAGGAAATTTAATCTTAGGCCCAGCCAGGGAGGGATCACTCAGGATGTCCTTCCACAACATATACAGTACGCCCACTCTCTGCTGAGCACAGTAAAAGGTGCTATGGGAAATACAAAAGAAACCAAAGACATGGTTTCTGCCTTCAAAAAGCTCTTATTTTGGCTAGGGACACAAAACAATACACATGTGAGGGGGGGAGGGAAAAGCCTTTAAAATACTTACAAAGCAACATGCAAACAAGTGCAAATTAATACAGTGCAAACTGAATATATAAGTGCCAAAGAGACACACAAAAAAGGGGGTTCAGAGCTGAGTGAGATTAGTTAGAGAAGGCTGAACATCCTAAACATAGCATGCTAGGGCCCAAGTTCTGCCCTCCTGTCCCAGTGTCCCAGTTTCCACCTTCTGAATGATGGTGGTTCGCCCTAAAGTTGCAGAAGCTCTGTGACCTCAGTGCAAATGTGAAGTAGGCTTTAGAGAAATGCTTAATGGTAGAATAAAGCTCCCAATGGGCTCACCCTCCTTCCATTTCTGTATATTGTATATTCCGAGAACAAGAGAAGAGATGTTAAGTTTATTAACAGCAGCAATCAAATAACAGTAATAAGGTTTAGACTGAAGACAACTTCCTTCTTCCAAAAGGCAATGCCTACAATAGAAAGTCCACATTCTAAGAGTACCTATTGGTGGTAAAATTGAGGAGTTCTGCCAAATAGTAGTTTTCAGACAAAGAGAAATACTTCAGTTACACAATAATCATTTACTGAGTACATACTATATTCTAGACCAGGGGTGGGCAAACTTTTTGACTCGAGGGCCACAATGGGTTCTTAAACTGGACCGGAGGGCCGGAACAAAAGCATGGATGGAGTGTTTGTGTGAACTAATATAAGTTCAAAGTAAACATCATTACATAAAAGGGTACGGTCTTTTTTTTTTTTTTTAGTTTTATTCATTTTAAACGGGCCAGATCCGGCCCGCGGGCCGTAGTTTGCCCACGGCTGTTCTAGACACTGTGGTAAAGGACACTATTATAGAGAAGGCTATGGACTCCTCTACTAGAATGTGAGCTATTTCTGGATAGGGAATGTATCTTCTTTTCCTTTTCAGCCTAGTGGGAAAGATAGACATATAATGATACATCAGTATATTTAGGACAGTATTAATGGTCTGGGTCCATTTATTAGGTAGATGGGAAGTAAATAAATTTCTTGAAATGTCAAACCTTTCTAGAGGGCAATTTGGCAGCAGCTAACAAAATTTTATATAAACATAAAAAAAAATTTTTTATATGAACATAATCTTTGACCAATCAATTTCACTTTGAAGGCTGTATCCTATAGAAACACTTGCTCAATATAAGTGCCCAAGAATGTTTATCCAGTGTTGTTTCTAATTGCAAAATGTAAATCAACAAGGAAATGGCTAAGTAAACCAAGGTAATTCTATACAATGGAATATTCTGCAATTGTTTAAAAAAAGAAGTATATCTATAGGTGTTAACGTGAAAACCATTCATTACTGTTAAGTGAAAAAATCAAGTTGCAGAACAATATACTATAATCTCAATTATGTAAATTTTTTATTTCTTACTTTAAATGTATTTATATTGTTTGAAATGTTAAACTAAGCAAATATTACCTTTTAAAATATACTTTTTAGCAAATATTACTTTAAAATTAGAATTTTAAAAAGAAATTTTATGAGTACTATAAATAGAGTTAAAAAAATTAAGCAAATGGATAATTTTGGGATGTTAAGGATAGAAATTAAGTTAGAAATATCACCATGGAAGGCAATAACAACATAGAGCCAAGAAATACTCCATGGTGACACTGGTATTTATTGATTGAGATGATGGGACTTTAAAATGGCTATGTTGCAAGCAAAATACCCAAGGATCAGTTTAAAATGGGGTTTGAAGAGTTATCCAGGCAACTTCAATAACCTACTGAGGTCCATTTGACAGCCACGCTCAAGAGAAGGGTTTTCTATGGCTCTAGCACAGCTTTACGAGATTTTCTCTTAAAGACATTCAATTGTCTGTGGATTTACAATCACTAACCAGCCCACCAGGAAAAAGTTCCCTAATGCAGACTACCTTCCCAAGCTAGGTGTATGTCCATGTAAATCAGCCAGTTACTATACTTGCACAAATTAGTATTACATGATTAGGAACAGTGCACATCAGTTGTTTTTTTCCCCAGGGAAAACAGCTGTGGTTCTTGTTTTGCAAAGCAAGGAGTAAATAGCAAGTCTCAGGTTACAACTCTTTGGCTGACTAAAACTTTTAAAGCATCTATAATAATAAAAGTGTAATATGCTAATTAGATTGGACACTGCGAGGGAAGCCCAGGTCCCGGGTGCCAGAGGGAAGCCGGTGCTGGCAGCCAGGGGAAGGAAGGCCTACTATTGCACTAGTTTTGTGCATCGGGCCTCTAGTATGTACATAATGATCTGGTTATTAACCACTTGAATTATGAAGCTTACAGGCCTTCTATGTGATGCACATGGGTAAGCATATCTGCTTTCAAGGGAAAGGCAATATGCAAAAGACATGACCAAAAGGCAGCTTAGAACCCAGCCGGTGTGGTTCAGTGGTTGGTTGTTGACCCATGAACCAAGAGGTCACCAGATCAACTCCTGGTCAGGGCACAGGCCCAGGTTATGGGCTTGATCCCAGGTAGGGGGCATGCAGGAGGCAGACAATCAATGTTTCTCTCTCATCACTGTTTCATCTTTTTATCCCTCTCCCTTCCTCTCTCTCTAAAAAAATCAATAAAAACATAATAATAATTTAAAAAAAGGCAGCTAAGAGCACAATCCCTATCACAGGTTCCCTACAGCATTAATATTTCTCAGGAAAAAATGCAGCTTTTAAATGACCAATTCTTGATGAGCTATTCCTTGTTTAAATACAGCAGTCAACATCTCAAGGTTAGGTAAAACTATAAATTTCTACTTCCTATTGGTCCTATCTTCACAATATATGACTTCTTGTCACCTTCAGTGCTTGCCCATCTGATCCAAGCTACCAACTTCTATCGCTGGAAATACTGAAAGAGCCTCCTATGGTCTCTATCACTACTCAAGTTGCGGACATGTTTTCTTTATACAACGACCAGAGTAATCTTTTAAAACGTAAGTCCGATTTTGTCAGTTACCTATTCAAAACCTTCCAATGGCTTCCCTGTGCCCAGAATAAAATCTAAAGCCCTTATCATGGCCTACAAAGTTCTCCATAACACACGGCCTCCTTGAGGTGTCTCCTGTTCTCACCCCCTTCCCCATTCTGTTCCTGCTAAGATGGTATCCTTTCTGTTCCTCAAGCACACTAAGCACTTTCTACCTTAGGGTCTTTTACTCACTATTCTCTGAATAGAATTCTCAGAAGGTTTGCTCTTCTTACTGCTTTTCTTCAACTCTAGGCACTAACTGACAATAACTGTCTATTTTTTTTAAATGCATTTTTATTGATTTCAGAGAGGAAGGGAGAGGAAGAGAGAGATAGAAACATCAATGATGAGAGAGAATCATTGATTGGCTGCCTCCTGCCCCCTACTAGGGACTGAGCTCGCAACCCGGGCATGTGCCCTTGACCGGAATTGAACGCGGCACTCTGAGTCCGCAGGCCTACGCTCTACACACTGAGCCAAACTGGCTAGGGCGACTGTCTATTTACTTATTGTCTGCCTCCCACATTGGAATATAAAGTCCAGGAGAGCAGGCATGTTGTTGTTCTCTGCTATTCTTCAGACAAGCACTTGGCACAGAGCAGAGCAAGCATTCAATACAAATTTGCTAAATAGCGAATGAACATTCTGGTTTCAATTATTAGTTGATTTTGCTATTTCCTTAAATTTCATTTTACATTCCCTATGACACTTCCATCAAAGGTAGAGTAACTTAATTTTTCTAAAGCCCTTCTGAGCATCTCCCTTTCTAGACTATTTGGTTTAGTTATATACCCTCTGCTAAGAAAAGCACAAAAAGAAGTGAGAGATGGCCTTCGGCTAGTGTACCTGGAAGATACTGAGGCACCTAGCAATACCCGTAAAACTAGGCCTACTCTAAACACAGAAGCCAGGGTGATCTTTTAAAAATAAAATCCATCCTTTGAAAACAGAAGTCAGACTGTTATGAATATTACCAGCACTCCCTATTTCTCTCAGAATATAATCAATTCTTACAATGGCCTATGAGACCCTATAAGGTCTGGCTCATTACCTCTCTGACCTCATCCTGCCCCTTACTCATTCTATTCCAACCATTCTGGCCTCATTGTTGATCCTCAAACAGACGAGGCACCCTCCTGCCTCAGGGCACTTATCTGACTATTCTCTCATCTTGAAATACTCTTCACCTAAAAACCCATGACTAATTCCTTCAAGTCTGCTCAAACATCGCCTTCTCAATGAGGCTTATACCTGACTCCTCTAATTAAAATTATAACTCAGCACTCTATGCCCTGGCCAGAGTGTCTCAGTTGGTTGGGCATTGTCCCGTGCATCGAAAGGTTGTTAGTTCAATTCCTGGTCAGGGCACATGCCCCAGATGCGGGCTCAATCCCCAGTGGGGGTGTGCAGAAGGCATCTGATGCATGTTTCTCTCCCTGTCTCTCCCTTTCTCTAAGTCAATAAAAATATTAATAAAATAAAATTATAACTCAGCACTCTTGATTACCTTTATTATGCTCTACTTTTTCTTTGTTCCATGGTGCTTTTGCCTTCTAACATACTATACATTTTACTTATTACGTTTATTGTTTTTTATTTTCTTCTCTAAAATGTAAGCTCCAGTCCTAGCCGGTTTGGCTCAATGGATAGAGCATCCACCTGCAGACCAAAGGGTCCTGGTTTCGATTCTGGTCAAGGGCATGTACCTCAGTTGCAGGCTCTTCCCTGGCCTGGGCCCTGGTCAGGGCTCATGCAGGAGGCAACCAATCAGTGTGTTTCTCTCACATAGATGTTTCTCTCTGTCTTTCTCTCTCTCTCTAAAAATCAATGGAAAAGTATCATCGTGTGAGGATTAAAAAAAAAAAAATGTAAGCTCCGTGAGGGCAGGAATGTTTGTCCGTTTTGTTCACTGATTCCAAGAATCTAGACAGCACCTGGCACGTAACAATCACTATAAATGTTTGTGATTAAAGGTAAGGAGCCTCCTGGCCTTTATCCTGAGAGATTACTTATGTCTGGGCTGCCTTCAGAGGAGAGATCACCATCACAATTTGAAGTTAATTTGGAAATCATGAGGAAGTAATAGTGCAGAAAAACAAAACAAAAAACTAGTCTAGAAGTAAAAAGTCCTGGATTTTGTGTTTTAAATTCATTTTTTAAAAAATCAATGTGTATGACTGAATAATGTACTTAACTTCATAGTTTCCCAACTAAAAATCAAGGACAAGAATAATGCCTCATGAGGTGATCAAGAGAATGAAATGAGATAAAGTAAAAATATAAAAATGCATGTTTGCATTCGGAATTCTTTTCAGTTCAGTGCTTCTTGAGGGTTTAGAAGGGAAAATTCCTTTCCCCTTCTCTTAATCAAAAAATTTCTCATTAAGCTCAGAGCAGGACTACTACTACTTCCCTTAAGTTTTTCCCCTTTGGGGGCTCTATAAGCAGATTAATCCAAAAAAGTACAATCATGTGCTAGGCAGTTTTAGAAATATTAATATCTTAGTCCATTTACTAAAGGGGCAGTATGGCACATAAGTGAAACTTAACCCAACCGCAACCACAACAAAAAGAACTAAATGATTCATAAGCAAAATATCGTTGTAAAACAGAGTAATGGAGCCGTGCCACTCAGAAACATCAAGGGTAGAATAGGCTTTGGTAGGCTGCTTGTCCAGCTATTTTTATAAATAAATAAAAATAGAGCACAGAGTTAAAAAGAGAAACCATTTAAAATAGATATTATCCGGTCTCTTTGCTGAGGTCACATTGAGCTGCGAGTGGCTTCAGGGGCGTCTTTAGGAATCAGCAACATGGCAGAAGACATCAAGACCAAAATCAAGAACTACCGGACTGCTCCACTTTAAATTAAGAAGTCCACCCATCTGGTTTCCCCATAGAGGAAGGGAGTAACAATGGGAATAACACTGGCTTTCTTTCCACAGGTTTCAGCCTGGGATGACCGCCGGGCAGAAGGCACATTTCCTGGGAAGATCTGAACTGGGCATCCTCCATCCTTCTCCCAGGGACGTGAAGGGGGGCCTGGGTACATCCCACCCTAGAATCCTGAATCATGGCTTAACTAATAATAAATACTTGTAAAAATAAATAAATAAATAACTAAATAAATAAATAAATAAAATAAAATAAAATAGATATTATCCAACAGGCTCTCAATATATCAACTGACCCTTACCTGGCAATGCTGAAGCTCAATCAGAGCAGCCCTCAGTGGAAATAAAAGCATGCTTTGCTTGAGCCATTTACCCAGAGAGAAATACAGTTGTGCCAGAAAAATGCCATAAAATATTAAAAACAGAGTCAAAGTCACACTGAGAAATACTTTGGTAAGTCTGAAAAGAAATAAATAACACTTCTATTAACTCTTACTTGGGCAACTTAGTTGGACCAAGTGTTACTTTGGATTTGAAAATTTTAGGGTCAATGTAATCAAATTAGAGAGTCAAATTTGAGGAACATGTGCTACTAAGTTGATTGTGGCACCTAGAGATCCAATTACTATAGTTGGAAAACAGTTAAGGAGAGACTTAGCCCAATGAAAGAGGGAGAAAGAAAAAATAAACCATAGTATTTGACAGACACAATCAAACTTAAGCAATGTTCTCATTTCAGCCCATAGATTTCTCTCCCTTGACTTGTTTCCTTAAACCAACCTATCTTACATTCATGGTAAAATTAAACATCCCCAGAATACTGACTACCATTTTATAAAAACTGACTCACATTTACTATATCCTTTTTGTAGTACTGAATTTACTCAGCTCTCAATCCTAAATATAAGATAAAATGGCTTATAGTGTAAACAGGTATCAAGCTTGGGTGGAAGAAAACAATCATTTGAAATGATTAAGTTGAGACAAAGAAGCTTCATATTATCTACAAGCACAGATCATAGGGCTAGTAAGTGAACAGACTGTGGGCAGATCTGACAAGGACAATCATGTTTAGAGTGGCTGGTGACCCCGCTCTTTCTTCTTCCAGTTTGTTCCTTGGCAAGGAGGAAAGCAAAAGCCCCCCAATGATGACTCGCTTGATCTTACCACATCAATCTCTGTGTTGGAATGTCCCATGTTACAAACAATGCAGCTATTCTTCATCCGGTCTAAGTGCTCTCTGGTTACCACATTCTTGTTACCTTAAAAACAGAAGAGATAGCCACATATAAAGGAATGAAGCTGGACTCCTACCTCACACCATACTTAAATTTTAACTTGAAATGGATCAGAGACCTAAATGTAAGAGCTAAAACTATAAAACTCTCAACAGAACCTGGGAATAAATCTTTCTGACCTTGGATTAAGCAATGCTTTCTTAGATGTAACACCTAAAGCATAAGCAACCAAAGAAAAACTAAACTGAACTACGTTGGAATTAAAACTTTTGTGCTACAAATGATACCACCAAGAAAGTGAAAAGACAACCCACAGAACAGAACAAATATTTGCAAATCATATAACAGATAAGGAACTTGTACCCAAAATTTATAAAGAACTCTTGGCTCAATAGTAAAATGACAAATAACCAAATTTAAAAATGAGCAAATGATCTGAATAGACATTTCTCAAAAGAAGATGTGTCAATAGGCACATTAAACGATGCTCAACATCATCAGGAAAATACAAATCAAAACCTTCACACCTACTAGGATGGGTATAATAAAAAAAGACAGATAATAACAAATACTGGCGAGGATGTGAAGAAACTGCAACTCTCATGCATTGTTGGTGGGACTGCAAAATTGGTGCGGTCACTTTAGAAAAGTTTGGCAGTTCCTCAAAATGTTAAAAATAGAGTTACCATATGATCCAGCAATTCCACCTGAAGGTATAAACCCAAGAGAACTGAAAACATGTTCACACAAAAACTTGTACACAATATTCACAGCAGCATTATTCTTTTTTTTTTTTAGATTTTATTTTCAACTACAGTTTACATTCAATATATATTTTGTTTTAGTTTTAGGTGTACAGCATAGTGGTTAGATAATCATACACCTTACAAAGTGATTCCCCCCAATATTTCAAGTACCCACCTGGCATCAGACATAGTTATTACAATATTATTGCCTAAATTCCCTATGTTGTACTTCACATCCCTGTGACTATTTTGTAACTACCAATTTGTACTTCTTAATCCCTTTACCTTTTCCACCCAGCCTCCCAACACCCCTCCCCTCTATCAACCACCAGTTTGCTCTCTGTATCTATAAGTCTGTTTCTATTTTGTTTGTTCATTTATTTTGTCCTTTAGATTTCACATATAAGTGAAGTCAGATGGTATTTGTCTTTCTCTATCTGACTTATTTTACTTAGCATAATACCCTCTACGTCTATACTTAGTCTATAGGGTGAATTTTTTCATATGTGGATTATATATCAATGAAAAAATTAGACTGTGGTGATGGTTGTATGACCCTATGAATTTGCTAAAAAAAAAGCATTGAACTGTACATTTAAGTGGGTAAAATCTAAGATACGTGAATTAGATCTCAATAAATTTATTTTAAAAATAGATTAATGGATTGATGTTAAGCAAGAACAGTTTCTTGTGGTCCCTCTTCTCTGCCCCCAGCTCTTCTTCTTTTTTTTTATAAATATATTTTATTGATTTTTTACAGAGAGGAAGGGAGAGGGATAGAGAGTTAGAAACATTGATCAGCTGCCTCCTGCACACTCCCTACTGGGGATGTGCCCTCAACCAAGGTACATGCCCTTGACTGGAATCGAACCTGGGACCCTTTAGTCCGCAGGCCGACGCTCTATCCACTGAGCCAAAACAGTTAGGGCTGCCCCCAGCTCTTCTTTAGCCTATATACATACTTTCGTTTTTAAATATTCTGATTTTCCCCCTCTAAGATACAATTATAAAAGAAAACCAATGTTCCAACAGTTTATGGTTCTAACATAAAGATAAAATCTCAGTCCAAGAAGACTAGCTATTTCTGCATATTCCTCTCTAAAACTCAAAATCTACCTCTTTGGGAATCAATACAACTACATTTCCCACTTTCTCTACGAATTTTGCTCAGCCTTGTTTTTATTATAGGGACTATAGAAAAATATATATCACTTTTGGAGGTAAAATTAAAAAAATCAAATGTACAAATGTAAGATCTGGGTTCCCAAACAAAACTCATCTCTAGCCATCTCCTAGGGCAGTGATGGCGAACCTATGACACACGTGTCAGAGGTGACACGCGAACTCATTTTTTTGGTTGATTTTTCTTTGTTAAATGGCATTTAAATATATAAAATAAATATCAAAAATATAAATCTTTGTTTTACTATGGTTGCAAATATCAAAAAATTTCTATATGTGACACGGCACCAGAGTTAAGTTAGGGTTTTTCAAAATGCTGGCACGCCGAGCTCAAAAGGTTTGCCATCACTGTCCTAGGTGGTTGAAGATGAATGGAGATATAGAACAAAGAGATGGGAAGAAACCTTCCTCTATGAATGACTTAAAGGCATACTTTTGGTCAAGCTCTACAGAGGCAGGAAGAATGTGAAAAATTGACCGGTTTTGTAAACTGCTATCTCTGGCTTTTAGAGTTTGGTTTTGTTCAGAACATTTTCAGTCATTTTTCATTTGTTCCATAAAGGCATTCTCAAGTGCCACCCATTTTAGATGTTATAATCGTACCTGTACAGGTAATAACAATATCCACTTGTCGGATGACCTCATTCAATTTCACCAGGCGAAATCCATCCATACTGTAGAAATAAAGCATGATCAATTAAGCTAAAAGGCAACTGGGAGGTTTTTGCTGAAGAACCTCAAAAGCTATTACTAAGTTGCTTTGATACCTACACTGTCATTTCTTGATATAGCTGGATTACTCTTAGCAGTGAAAAATTCAAACCATTTCCTTAGTTCATTCAAGACAGAAATAAGAGATTCTTTTGCATCACTGGAACCTGATTCTTCCTGATAATAGGGAGACAATGTTAAGCATGGGATTCCCCAATTAAGTTTCTAGAAAGTGCCATTTTAGCACTGAACCTACTCCCCACTGAAACTGCTTCTCTCCAAGATCATCAATCATCTCCTGAATGCCACAGTAAATTTATTTAGACTCATATATTACTTGGTTTCCTCTAGTACATTAAACATTATTTGTCTTCTTAAATCTATATACTCCTTGGAGTCCATACCGTTTTATCCTAGTTTTCCTACTTTTCTGATTGCTCCTCAATCTCACCAATCTTTAAATGTAGGGTACTCTTTTCTCTCAGCACTTCTCCACACCTTTTCCTGGTTATATATGACCCCTCATAGGTGGCTGATTTACACATCTATATCTTTAGCTTAGATATCTCCAAACCTTCAGAGCCCTGGATCAAATTACCCACTAGACAGCTCTTCTAGATGCCCCACAAGGATCTCAAACTTACTGTGTTTGAAAAGAAACTCATTATCTCTCCACGTCCCCAACTCTATTTCTTCTTCTATATTTTCTATATTGATTATTAGCATTATTTGTTCACCCAGCTATATAAGCCAAATAAACTAGGATGTCTGAGCCTACTGCCTCTTCCTAAGTGAAGTTGGCACCAAATATTTTAACTAACTTCCTTAAAACCTCTTGAATCTGTCCCTTCTTTCCATACATGCTGGCCTTATGTTCAGGATTTATTTTTTTGTCTGTATTACTACAGTAGCTCCTGGACCAATCTCATCACCTCTAGGTCTATGCCTCTCTAATTCATTTTGCAGAGTGGATTTCCCTAAATGCAACTTGGATCATGTAACTTCCTTGTTTAGAACACTCCAGGGAGATTGCCTGCTCTCAGGAAAAGACCCAAATACTTCTACTGATATATGATTATCCTGACATATGATTCCTACCTCAGATATACTCCTCCCAAATTTACCCTATAGACTAGCTACATTAAAATATGTCAAGCTTCTTAAATATATTGCACTCTCTCCTTCCTTGGTAACTATGAAATTTACTTCCAAACTAAGAAATCATTTATACCAGTTTCAAGACTCAACTGTACTGACACCTCTTTGGACCCTACCTCCTTGCTCTTTTGTTAGATATTTCTCTCTTGTGTTCCTAAAGGAGCATGTGCTGTTTACCTCCATCATAGCACTTACTATACTGCACAGTGGTTATCTGTCTGTGTACCTGTCTTCTCGCATTCACTTATTTATCTTATTCATCCTTAGCACACAGCATAGTACCTGATATATTGTAAATGATCAGTTTGTGTCTATAATTTGAATCAGTATATCAGTGAGTATTAAAGCAGGTGATAATTTAAGAATGGTGATAATTTCCTTTGGGTGCTGGATCCCTGACTCAGAGAAAACCAACAACTCTGTTGGGGAAATCTGTGGGTTTATGGCTAGGATGTGTGAGGAACAGTAGGACAGGTAGGAATATTTGTGATAAAATCTTTATGTCATGCCTCATTTTATCCTGGGCACTTTCCTCTGGAGGATTAATGGTGAAGACCGGGTAGGTAACCCAGGCTATAGACACTGGGGCTTTGCAGTAGTTTTCAGGGACAGTGGTTTCTCCATCCTGTTGAGGGTGGCAAGAGACAATTTTAATAATAACTACCATTCAGTGAGCATTTATTATGTGGCAGCAGCTCTGTACTTTTTATAATTATATGACTATTATATATGATTATACATTATAAAATAAATATATAATTATGTTACTGAACGTTCACAACACTTTGAGGTAAGTAAGAGTACCCACATTTTACAGATGGTAAAGAAACTATTCTTTTTTAAACTTTTAATTTTGGAATAATTTCAAACTTAAGAATTATAAGAATACTACAAACATCTCTCATACACCCTTCACTCAGCAGATTTTACCCTTAATTTGGATTTGTCTGCTGTGTCCTTCTGATTAGATTTAGTTATACATTTTTGGGAGGACTATTGTAGAAGTGCTCTTTTCAGTGTATCACATGAGAAGGGACCTGGTACCAGCCTGATTCCTTTTTTATCATTTTTTTCCAAAGGGAGGAGGATTATATGGAGAAGATAAGGAACTACTTGTTCTCTAGGTCAAAGCAGAGGGTATTTCCATAGGAATTCTACATTTTAGCTTCTCTGATCATCTTTGTTCTCTCTGAGCAGAGCTCCTTGATCTTACAGTTAACAGCAGCCTCTCTCAGGATCTGGGCCCCTCTAAGTTAAAATGTATATTAACTGGGCCATTCTTTGAGGCAGCTACACGATCATATGCTAGATGAAGGTGTAGAGGGAAAGGAACGTCTCTTTGTACCCTTACCAGGCTTGAAGAGCACAGATGGGGTCGATCTCAGTCACATACACAATGGAGCCCATGGCTTTCAAGGCAGCACAGCACCCCTTCCCCACCTGAAAATGGGAGAAAGTACACATAATAAGGAAAGTCAATGAGAAAACAGTTTCTCAAAGTTTCTGGTAAAGTGTACCCCACTTTCCGCCCCCAAAGAAATTTCACTGAATAGATTCATGCTTGGGGAAAAATAAGAAAAACAAATAAATGAATGCAGTTCATAAACAAACTCCTAGCTCCTGCTTAGCACATGTATGTGCATAAGAAACACCCACAGTCACGATTCATAATAAAAACTCAAGCTAAAAGAACATCACAAACAGTACACTGGAACAGTTAGAAAATCAACTTAAGAAAAGATGGCAAAAATGAAGAGGGAAAAAGAAACATTGTAATTGAACCAGAGAGTCTCTAAAGTTATCCCACTCCCCCATCTAAAGTGATAAATGAATGTACTCTTATGTCCATACAAATGAGAAATTCTAGTTTATTTTAGCAAAATACATTTTAAACACCTAATACACAATTGAAAGGGTAAACCTTACCTCTCCATAGCCACAGATCACCACCTGTTTTCCACCAAACATCATGTCTGTTGTCCTTTTAAGTCTAGTGGGGAGGGGGGAAAGTACATCAGAAAAATCTTTTCATTTCTCCCTTGAGATTAGGTTCCTTGTTTTCATGTTTCATGGTGTGTTTTTTCCTATTTTGAAAGAAAGCCTAGTTTCATCCTAGATAAAATATTTAAAAACTAGAAAGAAAGGTTTAATAAAATATGTATTTTCTCATTCCATGCTACCCAACCAATTGCATCTGTATGTGAGTTTTGTTTTTTCTTTCTTTCTTTTTTTCTCCCTTGTCTTGGAAGTGGTGCAGAAGGGAAGCAGCTATAGACTACAAAGTAACTTTTAAACATAAAAGCAATATATACAGGGTGTCCCAAAAAATGTATACATACTTTGAATAATTATTAATTCCAATGGGTTAAGTCTGAAAAGAAAGAAACATCAATTGAGCTATCAGCTGTTAAAATGTGTATACATTCTTTTGGGACATCCTGAATTTATTATACAACATTTGGAATATCTGGCTTAATGAAAACATGCTAGCTTATTGAATTAGACAGACACTGATAGATCAGTACTACATTTAGTAGTATCATAGTGGTCAACAGGTCCCACATTAATTCAACAGGGAGGGCGATGGACAAGATGGAAAGGAGTTTTGAAACACGCCAACACCGACTACATGAGATAGTGAGTTTTCTGGGGCGGATTCCTTCTCAGTCATGTTCTACTTCATCGCTGATTCTCTACAAATTGGAATAAGGGTCCTTCCTGTTTTCAGGGTCTCTTGGAAGAACTTGTAGGAGCAGTTTCTGGTTTCTTTTTAGGTTCAATCAGTCTCCCTTCTCTAGGAATCTTTGGCTACGCAGAAGTTTTTCAACTAAAAATAGCCTATTCTGAGATAGACAGCTCCTACAAATATTTGTGGGTCTTTCTACTCACTGTTCTAACTGTTAATCTCTGCTGTTGAAGAGTCTATAAATGCCCCAAAGGCAAAGTAGGAATCCTGTTTTTCTGAGGATTTGACAACTCCATTCAAGAGGAACCAGTATAACTCCCTAACCCAAATAAAACTCAATAAATATCAATTAAGTGCAGAGGCAATTCTTGAGTGAAAAGAGTAAGTCTAGTCTGGCTGGACTACCATATTCAAAAGTCGGAGCTTCGGAGAATGGTCCTGGAAGGGCTAACACAGCAAGGAAAATCAATAGATCATATTCTGAGCCTCCTTTGCTTTGACTACCCTCAGGCCTTTCTGCCTCTCTTCCCAACTACTATTTGTAGTCTTTCCTGACTACAAATAACTGTGTGGTGGGAAGGAAACTTCACCAACACTGCTACTCTGCAAATGATAAGCTGACAGACCTAGGTGGATTCCAGTTAGGTAGTGATTTCCATGTCATCTTAGGAACCCACATTTGCCTCAAGGTTCGAGGATAAGGAATAGAAAAGACCTCAGTCCAACAAGGGCCTTTTTTTTGGGGTGGAGGGGGGTGCAGGAGGAGTTGGGAGTAACCTCTCTGGTGGTGTATGAGTCATGTCAAGCCTCCTACTTCTAATTCTTCTAGCCCCAGGATCCTCTAGAAGGGTTCCTGAAATACAATCTACTTTATAATCTGAAAACCACATCAGGGATATTCTTAGTGTTCCTATCAGGTGGAACCTCAGTCTCCAGAAGACAAGAAATGACAGTTGGATGACAGATAAAATGAGAAAGTGATGGCCGAGTCCTATGGGCTCCTTGCAGGTCCCTGGTCAAAAGACACATGCTGGCACCCCACCCTCTTTCCTGCCTCCTGTGTTTTGTTTTCCTTTTTCTCTGAAAATGTTATAACGAGAACGAGTATTTCAGACATTTCTGGTTTAATATAACATAATTTTGGCATCAGAAAAAAAATTTGCACTGCTTTTTGGCATTGCAGACCAATTACGGAAGTGTCCTCCAGGAGTCAGTGGGGCCATTCCCACACAGCTTACGGTGCAGTGTGTAACCAGCTCTTAGAACCACAGGAGCTCAATCACTAATCCTTTCCTCATATGAACTCTCTATTGGGCTGAATGTCCTCTCTTTTCCATTGCAGCCTTCCCTGGAGCATAACTGCCTTTTCTTTAATTCCTCCTGCACTCAACTCCTCTGAGAGGAACAACTGCCCATGACCCAACTGGGAGGTTTCTCATCACCTGAAGGTGCCAATGACTCCTACTACTCAGCAGGTTTTCTGGCAGATGGTTGATGGTTTCATAATTCTTCATTAACCTTAACTTCTGTTCCATTGCTTGCATCTTACTTCATTTCATACACATCTGCTATTAAAGAATCTTTCTTACCCACCAGGTAAACACTGCTTAGGAGGGACTCTTCCATTTTTATGAACTAGTGTAGGTACCTTTATGTATCTTTTACTGAACCCAGTATAGACAGATTTTAGGCTCATAGATTTGAGAATTGAAAAATCTACGAGATACTTAGTTGTGGATGAGTAAATATTTTAATGTGTATATAGCCAGATTGTTATTAATTTTATCAGGCCCAAGGCTACTTACATTACAATAACACTTAAATATGGACAGAACTAGGGACAGTTTATAAACAGACTGATAGACTGAGAATTCATTTAAATGTCCAATGTGACTGATAATACTATTGACTCAAAGGAGTAATAATAATAGTTCAAATTTGCACTGAACACGCCCTACCCCCCAAAAAGATTTCAAAGTAAAAAGCTTCCTCTAAGATCTAACTCAATCTTAGAATTTACTGTACAGAAAATTCTGTACAGGGTTCTAGAAAGAAGAGCAAGGAATTAACATTGAATATCAGGATTCATACCTTATCTCATTTAATCCTCACAATAACTCTATGAAGTTGGTCTTACTATCATCATTTAACAGATGAGGAAATAGGCACAGAGAGGTTAAATAACTAGTCTAAAGCCTTTTAGTTAATAAGTGATAGGACCAATAGTCAAACCAAGGTCTTTCACCAATGCCTGTGGTGTTGCAAACTGCCTGGGATCCAGACTGGTTGGTAATGTGACCCACAGGCCCTTTCTTTCCTTTCCCATTAACTATACATCAAGGGTCCTCAAAGTTTTTAAACAGGGGGCCAGTTCACTGTCCCTCAGACCGTTGGAGGGCTGGACTATAGTTTAAAAAAAAACTATGAACAAATTCCTATGCACACTGCACATATCTTATTTTGAAGTAAAAAAACAAAACGGGAACAAATACAATATTTGTATTTGCATGTGGCCCACGGGCCGTAGTTTGAGGACCCCTGCTATACATGATGGAAACCGACTTAATGGTTTCAGACAGGGAATTACTGAGTCTTCCCAGCAAGAATAAAGTTATGTCAGGGCACAAGTATAGAAACAGGAACTGGGTACTGGAATAACAGAGTATTTGGTATATATCTAAGTAGATTTTGTCAGACTTGCAATTATTACAGATTTGAGAAACTAGAAATGCCTCTGAGAATTGACTCTGTGCTCACCACAACTTTCCAGATGGCAAGAGAATTATATGATAGTTGGAACTTAAGAACTGGCAATATGACCTAAAATAGAAACATCAGGAACCTTTCCCAAACCATCAAAGATACTTACATGTTTATAATGACTTTAGTTAGTTACTCTCAGGCCTGCTAGAGTCACCAAGTTAAAAACTGCCATCAATAGACAGGGGCTAATCTGATCTTTTATATAAAATAGATTTGCTTCTAATAGTGATAGCAATGGTAGCTCTGGGTTATAAAATCTGAGTATGATGTGATGATAGATTCAGAGGTGCTACATGAATAATTTTCAAAACTAAAACGCTGAGGACCTCACTTCAACAACTCAAGCTCATCACAAAGATAATAAAAAATTACCCGTCAAGAATAGATTCACGGCAACAGTAGAGGTTGTCAAATTTTTGTTTGGTGACTGAGTCATTCACATTCATGGCTGGAACACACAGCTTCCCAGCTTTGGATAGCTGGTACAGCCTGAGGATGAGGGAAATAAAAAAGAACATAAACCAATGAGATACTGTAATCTTCTGTCAGTTCATATCAAGTTCCAGAAATATGTTGACTGGGTAGGCATGACAGCGTGAGACATGAGTAGTTTATCCTATTAGGTATATAAAGAGAAATAAAGAATATATTTCTAGAGCAGTGGTTGTCAACCTTCCTAATGCCACGACCCTTTAATACAGTTCCTCATGTTGTGGTGACCCCCAATTTCATTGTTACAAATTGAACATAATTAAAGCATAGTGATTAATCACAAAACAATATGTAATTATATATGTGTTTTCCGATGGTTTTGGGCGACCCCTGTGAAAGGGTCGTTCAACCCCCAAAGGGGTCGCAACCCACAGGTTGAGAACTGCTGTTCTAGAGTCTATATAGCTTAGAATAAAGATCTTAGTCAAAAGGCATGTGGGGAAAATCTCTAACCAACCTCTACATTATAAGAATTAAAATATACATTTTTAAAATTGCTTACTAATATTATTCACCTTTTTAATTATAAAAAAATTAACTTTAAGTACTATTTTAGTCCCACTATTCTAATATGCATATCTATATATAGGAGTTTTATTTAAACTGATTCGACTAAGTATCAGAACCAGGTGTTTTATTCAAAATTCATCTCTTTCTAAGAATCTTATAGTACGGCTAGCCTATAGTTTTGTATATTCAAAAAGATCACAGAATTTTGAAGCAGTGATGATGGCTATTCAGAATTTACTTGCCTAAAGCTTTTATTTTTATACTTTCAGTTCTTTCTGGGTGAATAATAGTAAACAGAAATGATTTCCATTTTACTCAGGAAATTATTGCTCTTTTGAGAAAAAGGACCCCAAATCCTTGCTCTCTACATAAGAATGTATCAAGGCCCAGGTTTTTGTCTGTTCTGCCTAGTGCTAGACCCCTAGCACAGTTCTTAGAGCTGTTCCTGGTTAACTGTAGAAGTTCAATGAATATCAATTGCATAAATCAGTGGTCTCAACCTTCCTAATGCCGCGACCTTTTAATAGAGTTCCTCATGTTGTGGTGACCCCCAATTTCATTGTTACAAATTGAACATAATTAAAGCATAGTGATTAATCACAAAACAATATGTAATTATGTATGTGTTTTCCGATGGTCTTAGGCGACCCCTGTGAAAGGGTCGTTCGACCCTCAAAGGGGTCGCGACCTACAGGTTGAGAACCGCTGGCATAAATGAATTCATCCAAAGAAAGACAAGCAGTGATTGTATTACAATGACTAGAAAACACGAGGACCACACTTGTTCCCTACCCATCCCCGCCTTCACTATATTAGGTTTGTTATTTGTGTTGTTAATAAAAAAAAAACAAGTGTGCAGACTCAGATCTCATTACCTCATAGTGGGTTCCAGTTTTTAACCTAATGTATTCTACACGTATGTGGTTACAAGAATGTATGTCTAGGCTGCATAAAACCAGGTATGTCCATGCCAAATCTTACCTATGAACTCCAGTTACACTCTCCTCTACTATGCCCTTGATTTTTTTAAACATGTTGGGATACTTCTTATAAATCCAGTGAGTTAGATCCCCTCCATCATCCAAGATCTGCAATAATAAGCATCAATAATGTCATTCATTTTGCTGAAGGCTCAATGTTCCTAGTGCTTCTCTGGGTCTTATATCCCAATTTCCAATTGTCCATTTATAGCTATTTCAAATTTCCCACATGGTTATGTAAAGTAACTTAAAGCCAGTATGATGACCAAAACAGTCATTAGACTGAAGTAAAAGACAATGAGGGGTGAAAAACCAACTGTAATTTTAATAGCCAAATGACTTTTCACCTAATAAAGCAAAATACACAGCAATACAATGAGGATTTTCTTATGGACTAATAACTCAAGTGGTTATCTAAATCACTAGTTCTTATTTTTTTAATTTTTTATTTATTGATTTTAGAGAGAGAGGAAGGGGGGGCGGGGAGAGAGAAAGAAACATAGGTTTGTTGTTCCATTTATCTATGTGTTCATTGGTTGCTTCTTGTATGTTCCCTGACTGGAGATCGAACCCACAACCTTAGTGTATCAGGAAGATACTCTAACCAACTGAGCTACCTGGCCAGGGCCTGAACCACTAGTTCTTGAATGTACTGTAAATATTCAGAAAGCCTAAATTTGATATGAGAATATTTCTATTAGTTAAATTTAGTACTTTAAATATAATCAGTCAAAGCTTGGTTTAAATAGAGTCAGATAATTAGTCTTCCTCCCAGAACAATGGCTCATAAAACTATATTCATTAATCCTTTACTTCTCCCAAAGTACAGGCACTCTCCTATCCAAAATATTAGGCAGTACTGTAAGGTTTTGCCTAGCACAATCTCACACTCTCTATAACCAAATTAAAAATAACTAGGGAACTGTGCAGCATGTAGGTGTGCAAGCAAGCAGGCCTCTGAACAGCTCGTCACTATTTCAGGTTGGGATTAAAGAGAAACACAATGCTGTGCCCACTGGAGCTTTCATCACAAAGGAAAAGTTTTTGAATTATAAATAAGCTACAGAAAGATCAGCTTAGCATACTATTAGGCACCAGGCTGTGGAATTCCAGCCCTTCGCTTAGCTGTTAGAAATGCTTGGCAGGACGTTTCAAATTGTTATACCCATCCTCCTGGAAAGTCCCAAGGAACTAAGTTGCCCTCTACTGGCATGCACCCATTTTGCAGTTCATCAATTATCAACTCTACTGCAAGTGCCAAAAATGCCATCCTGGACCTCTGGGCACACAAAATCCCCAACCTCACGTCTACCACATGATCTCTTTTTTGCTTCTGCTCTTGCTATTGATCTATTTTCTCTGACTCAACTAAACTTTACTTGAGAGTAGGGATCCAAGACAGAGCTCTCACTAAAATGCTGCACTTGCTCCACACTCTAAGTTTGTGCTCCATTTTCTCCCAGTAGAAACCTCAGAACAGATGCCCTAAGAAACAGAAAGGCTCCTCTGAGTTTTTCTCGCCCTTTCTGCATGTTTGAAATCCCTCATGGAGTTTTCCTTTTATAGCTTCTGATTCCCTAACCACACAAAAGATCAGAGACAAAAAAGACCGAGCAATTGGAAGTTCTATGTCTTAAGTCCCACTATTCTCATCCACTTCTCCCTTTTAACACAGATATCTAACACAGGCAGGCAAATGCTATTCCTAACATGTACTTAATGAATGTAGCCCATGATTCTCACCATGTAACCCTATTACAGAAAATTCTTGTCATCAGGGAATCTTCCTGAGGTTGGAAAGCAAGGAAAAGTATTAGATCTTGACAGAATCCAAAGAGATATAGGTCCTGTTTTCTGGGGTGACAACTGTTTTCATCTTCGTCTTACTCTCTTCATTACCTTTTTCAGTAGTTCATGCTGGCTCTATAGTCTATAAAAGCTTTCTGGGAGCAATCCCATGTCCTCCTTGTGTTCATGACTATAAAATTACTGTTATATTTCCAATAGAAATCCCCTGGCATATCTTCTTTATTGCCTGTCAGTCATACTCCCTCCTATAACTGTTGGAATGAGCTGACTCATCTTACAGCTGACTCCTCCCTCCCTTTCAGGATAAGAAGGCTTTAAGCCAGCTTCCTCAAACCAGCACTTGGTGCACTGTGATCTGAATCACAGAATCCAAAAAGATAGGCTGCTTTTTCCTGCTGTGAACCAGGTGAGGCCTGCTCTGCAGCATTTAGCAGCAAGCAAGAGATGGACTACAGCTTCAAGGATTCTTTTTCAGTTGATTCCTTAATTCCTCTTCTCACTCATATGCAGAAATGTTTGTAAAGTAGGAGTACCTCATACTTTGTGCAGTTTTTTTCTTTCCTTGCAAATCTAATATGCTATCAACCGTCAAGAATTTGATCTTTTAAAAAATGAAACAAAAATTTTAAAAAACAAAAATAAAAAACCTAAAACTTTATCTAGTTATCTTTCTCAGTGTAGAATGAATAAAGCAAAAAATTTGAACTTCGAAATCCTTCATGTTTACTATAAATCTAGCATATGATTCTAGAGAGAAAGCTAGGTACCACAGGGGGGGTGTGTGTGAGAGAGAGTGTGTATGTTTAGATTATTGTTGGTAGGGGATGGTAGTAAGAGGTGGTAGAAAATGGTAACTCATCAATCTTACTTTTTAACTAGCCTTGAATGAATGCTGAGCAGTATTTGTTTTTTAAATCCTCACCCAAGGATATGTGTTTTTGTTTTGTTTTTACTGAGTTTAGAGATAGAAGAAGGGAGAGGGAGAGAGAGAGAAACAGAGAGAAACAACTATCAGTTGCCTCCTATATGTGCCCTGACCTGGAATCAAACCTGCAAACTTTTGTTGCATGGGGCAATGTTCAATCAACTGAGCCACCTGGCCAGGGCTGCTGAGCAGTATTTTAATGTTGTAGTGAATATGAATGGTTCTAAGATTAGCACTAACAATTACAGTGCATTGAGGCTATAAAGAGATTCAATATTCTTGGGGTGTCTGAGCATAAGTATCTAGTTCTGTTGGAAGTCCAGGTACATCAGATAGAAAAGGAGTCCTTTTCCTTTTTTTTCCTGTTGGGAAACCCTTTCCTAAGCCAGAACCTCCCTCTCTACCTCTCCTTCCCGTCCCCCTAGAGAACTGTGTTAGCTGAAATCGAACCCACCATGTTTGGCTGCCAGCCCTCCACATTCACACATCTATCGATGCACCACCAAAAGTCATCTTCTGACTCTCCTTTCCAGGCAAAGACAGGAAATCCTGAGAAAAAGGAACAAAGAGAAATCATTAAAGCCTAAAAACAGGGGCTGACCCTAAATTCTGGCAAGACGATGCTGGTTTTCCTCAATTACGAACTCTCTCATTCTTCTGTACTATAATCCTTGGATTGACTCTCTTCACCGATTAGTATTGACTTCAGTTCCTAAGCTACTCCTTTGGTGGTCATTTTGCTCATCAGACTGAAGAGGACAAACAAAAGGGACAACTGTATGACGGAGACTAAACATATGACTAACGGGAAAAAAGGAGAAGCTAGAAACAAGTACTTGTTGATCCAGTCGAATTGGAATTCTCACCATTTCCCAACCACACTTTGATTTCTTACTTCCATACTTTAGTCATCCCATCCTCCAACAGGAAAAACCTACACTTTTCTCCATCTGTTAAAATGTTGATTATTTATCATACTTCATGGCCCAGTTAAGTGTCATGTTCCCAGTGAAGCCTGATTAACTCAGTTGGAAGTGAACTTGTGGAATCGGAACTTTTATGAACGCCCTGTTTGAGCACTGAATTTGGATTTATGATCTGTTGTGGCATTTATCACCTATGCTCTTGTACTATCATTATCTACAAATGTGTCTTTTCTCCTCAAGGACAAGACAATATAAGATTCTAAGGGCAAAAACATTGACTCATTTGTCCTTAATATCTCTTACAGGAGGCATAATAAGTATTTGTTGAAAAAAAAAAGACTGCATGTACAATTCATTGGGCTATATATTTAATATTTGTGTATTTTTCTACATATATGTTACACAATAAAAATTTTATGAATGAATGGATGTAAATGAAGAAACAAATGAAATGCTGAAAGTGCTAGCAAAAGGAGAGACATGTATGCACTAACCAGCTTTCTCCTGATTTCTCAAGAGCTCTGAAGTAAGGGTTTGGTTCCCTGATCAGTGTTGTGCTGCCAGGGAGTGAGGAGAAAAAACTAGCAAAATCCAACTTCTCTATTTCTTTTGTCCTTCAAGTGTCAGTGGCTGTTGTGATCAAATATTAATCTTTCAGGTCAAATGCTGAAGCAGAAGCACCAAACATTAAATCAGAGCAAACTACTGAAAAACCAACAGGACCACAACACTATGGCTGAAGCATTTTCTTTTCTAATCCCTATTACCTTAGAGTGGTACTCTAATAATTAGCAAGTCAAGGCAAAGCATTAACTAATAAAGGATTATTAGACTTAAGGAGATATTTGCAACTGTAAATATCTTCTTTATGGAAGCAAGAAAGACCAAAGTGTAGGCTGGGAAATGGTGAGAATTCCAGTTACCAGGTAAACTTAGTTCATATTTAATAAGAAAAGCCCAGAAAGAGAGCAAACTCATAAAAAATTTGGATCCATTTCTACCAAGACAGCTCCTTTAATGTCAACCTTCCTTAAAGATTTATATTGAAATAACGGAAGTTTTTGGAGACTTCCTTTAGCCAAAGACAGAGAGTAAGCAAAGATCTTACCACTTTCTGCTAAAGCAGCAGCCACTTCATTGAGAGTGGAATAGATATTGCAGGCGGCCCATCGGCACTGAGCTCCCAGAGCACCCAGAGTTTCCATGAGCACCTATATTAAAGAGAAAGCAGGAGATGAGCAACTTTTCTATAAATCTGCTTACTTCAAATTTTAAACATATTTTAAAAAATTTAACCCACTGATTTGATCCTGATTTATTTTATTTTAATATTTAAGATAGAGATTGCATTCTTTTTAAGAAGGTAGTATATCACCCTACTGCTTTAATTAAATTATTTTAATAATGATAAAGCTTTGGTTAAAAAGCTTGTTTTAAAATTTCCTGAGCGGTTAACTCTGAGTACTGCTAATTTTCATTTTAAAAGTTTGTATTTAGTATATTTCTATAATGTAGAAAAATAGTCTCCTACACAGGCAGTCCTCGGGTTATGTCGGACTTGACGTACGTCGTTTCCTGGTTACATCGCCATCGCCCACTTACAGTATTTATAAAAAAAAAAAGTTCTGTCATTTCGACACATGTACATATGTGCTTTATGATTTTTATTATTTATTTACCACAAGTAAAGGTCAGGAATTGTTATCTTTCTTTTAAATGTTTTTTACTGTTTTACTTCATTACTGCTGTGTATGTGCTCCATGTGAGTGACGTAGGTGCTTATGTAGGTGGGTTCCGACTTACTGCAAAAATCACATTACGTTGCGCTGTAGAAACAGATCTCTGATGTAATCCGAGGACCTACTGTAATCCCATGCTTCAGAATCCTATGCTATATTTCTATACTAAATGGAAATTCTAATTAAAAATATGCTTTAATCTAAAAAAAAATGGTAAACAACTTTAATTTTAAAAAACACTTGTAAACAACTCCACTAATGTAGGCTAACCCCCTCATATAATTTGTCCAAGGCCACACAGTAAGTTAGTAGCAGAACTACTCATATCTCTACATTTCTAGTCTATACTACCTTTCAATATCTGATTCCATTTTTTCCCCTCTTGTTTTATTTTTTTCCCTTAAAGAATTTCTAAATTCCTACAGCTTAGGAATTCTGAATTTGTCAAATAAAAGAATAATATAGAGGCTTACCTACAAAGCAACATAAATTAACTATATGGCCCTAGCTGGTTTGGCTCAGTGGATAGAGCCTGTGGACCAAAGGGTCCTGGGTTCGATTCTGGTCAAGGGCACATACCTCAGTTGCAGGCTCCTCCCTGGCCCAGACCCTGGTCGGGGCTCCTGCAGGAGGCAACCAATTGATGTGAGACACACTCTTCTATTCTCTCTAAAAATAAATGGAAAAATATCCTCGGGTGAGGATAAAAAAAAAATAATCTACACTAATAAAAGAGAAAAGAGAAACATGCAAATTGGTGTCACTCCGCTACGCCCATCAGCCAATCAGAGCGACTATGCAAATTAATCCAACAAAGATGGTGGTTAATTTGCATACACAGGTGCAGAGATGTCAAGCCTCGCTGCGGCAGGACCAAAGGCCTGGGTCCCGGGTGCCGGAGGAAAACCGGTGCCAGCAGCCAGGGGAAGGAAGGCCTATTGCGTGAATCTTCATGCAACGGGCTTCTAGTAATAAAATAAATAAATTAACTATAAAAGTCATTGGGACCAAGAATATAAAAACTGTTCAAAGAACTTTGAGTCAAGACTGCTGGCTATTAGGGCATAAGCAGGAGTGAAGGCAGGTAGGAATGAGAGGAGGACAGAGCTTAAACCCAACTTTAAATCAGTACCATTTAGAAGAAGTAGCTAGGAAGTCTAGTTAGAAGGAACTATGAAACATACCTAAAAATATAAATAATCCAAGTCTACTAGAAACATGGATAGGAAACTGATAACTATAATAGTTATTTCTGAAGCATGGGATTATAGGAGACTGTTTGTTTGTTTTTTCTAGAGAGACTGTTTTTCTACATTATAGATTGTGATAATGTTTGAATATTGTAAAATAAACATAATTACTTTTGTAATCAGAAAAATAGAGACTAGAAATAAAACAGCAAAATTCCTTTGTAATTAATTTTTAAAGGAAAAATGAAAAATGTGGGAAGGGTACATTAAAATGTTAAAATTGGTAAACTAGTTTTAACTACTCTGATTTTTAAAAAAAATCTTTATTGTTCAAAGTATTACGTATGTCCCCCTTTTCCCCTCATTGACCTCTTCTAGCCCCCCCTCCCCCACCTAGGCCTTTATCACCCTATTGTCTGTGTCCATGGAGTATGCATATATGCATACAAATTCTTTGGTTGATCTCTTCCCACCCATCCACCCTCCCCTGCCTTCCCTCTGAGATTCCACAGTCTGTTACTCTGATTTTGATTACTCCAGGAAAAGTAGAAAAGAAATGTGAAGGGTGGTAATATTCAGTAAGCCAGGAGGTAAAAAAGAACCTATATATAATTTAGCAACATGAGACAGTACAGAAGCACTTACTATTTTAAGCCACCACACTGAAGTCTCATGTCCCTGCCTGGGGAAGCCCAAAAAAGGTTCCAAGAGCGTTTCTGCCTCAATTCATTAGTCTATAGCTCCAAAAAGAGAGAGCTTTTCAATTTAATATATTAATTTTGGGCTGCCAAAGTACTCTTTTCCTCAGAGAACATGTAACCTAGAAAAAGTTTCTTAGGGAAGATGCTAACAGCAGATGTCTGTGTCTTGAGGAATCTCTGCTGTTCTTAACGAGGAATGTGGCCAAATAAATGTTGTTTCAGGAGACAATTTTTTGAAAGTTGATCTAGCCAAAAAAATGACCTGGATCTTGCCCTAGCTGATTTGGCTCAGTGGATAGAGCATCAGCCTGTGGACTGAAGGGTCCCAGGTTCGATTTGGGTCAAGGGCACATGCCTAGGTTTCGGGCTGGATCCCCAATAGGGGGTGTGCAGGAGGAAAGCAATCAATGATTCTCTCATCATGGATGTTTCTATCTCTCTCTCCCTGTCCCTTCCTTTTTGAAATCAATAAAAATATGTGTTCTTTGTTTTTTTTAATGACTTGGATCTTACAAATCCTATAAAAGATTCTAGACCATTTCCCAACACACCAGTTTCCTATGTGGTCTCATTATGGTGGGCAACTCAGTATCTATTACATCTTTGATGGTGATTAAGTCAGTGGTTCTCAACAGAGGGACTCTGGGAAACTGTGGGGCATATTTGGTTATCACAATAATTGGGAGGATAGTGCTACTGGCATTTAATGGGCAGGGCCAGTTTGAAAGTGCAAGACAGTCTTTTATAACAAGAAGCCATGCCACAGCTAGTTCATTGGAACAATTTTCAAATATTCCAATGAACTCACTGTATTACCTTGGACAAATTACTTAAACTCTCTGAGCCTCAACTTCCTCATTTATAAATTGGAACTAGGAGTACCTGCTTTACATGGCCATTATGAGGATTAATGAACTAATACTTATTAAACTCTTAACCTGGTGCTTGGCAAGTTGCAAGCACCTAATGGCAGGGGGTATTATTAACTACTAGTGGCCCGGTGCATGGATTTGTGCACATTGAAAGGGAATCTGGTGCAGGTGAACCAGACTCAGGGCCAACAGGGCCCCAGCAGCAAGATAACCCATGGCTGATTCCATGAGGAATCAGGCTCCTTCCTCCCTCCTCTCTGGGTCCAGGGTGTGGGTGAACCAGTTTCGGGCCGACAGGGCCCCAGCAGCAAGCTAACCTACCTGTTGGAGCATCTGTCCCCTGGTGGTCAGTGCGCGTTATAGCTACCAGTTGGTTGAACGGTCGCTTAGGCTTTTATTCTATATAATAAAAGCCTAATATGCAAATCGACCTAATGGCGGAACGACCGGTTGCTATGACACGCACTGACCACCAGGGGGCAGACGCTCAATGCAGGAGCTGCCCCCAGCCCGCAGGCTCCAGGCCAGCCAAGGCGGATGGCAGTGGGGGGCCCCCGATTGCCCTGATGGTCACCCCACAGATCGGCTGTGATTGCCGGACAGGTCTAGGGACTCTACCCGTGCACGAATTTTGTGCACTGGGACTCTAGTATATATAGATTGTTAAGTGGAGAAAGGAAAGAGACTTACAGCAGTCTGAGCAGTGATGTGTGTGCAGCCCACAATTTTGGCTCCAGCCAAAGGTTTTTCTCCTTGAGCTCTCTTCCTCAAAGCCATCAGGGCCGGCATTTCTGAAAAGGCCCAATATATACACAGCAATATTAGAGAGGAGGGAATGAGAAAGAAAAAATAAAGAGAAAATTATATTCTCTTAAGATCCTTCCCCTGATGAAGTTCCCTGTTAAATTAGGTTTTTTTAAGGGATTAAGATAATAAATCTGACCTTTCTTTCCTAAGGGGCTTTAGAGGCAAATGCTCCAGTGTTCTGATTTCCTATATCCCAGGCCTCTTTATCTAGTCCCTCCCTTTTCCTCCTAGAGGAGGTCCTTGTAGACCTGCCAGTTGTCTCCCTCCCCACAATGTTTTTTGAGCTCAGATTATTTTTTTGTTACAAGTAGTCTTCCACATCACAATGAAATTTCATAAGCTACTAGGCCGCAGGACCAGAAAAGCGATTAATATGGACAAAAGGATACAGGCAGCTTGGGAGAAAAAGGTGCTTTCTTTCTTTACCTTGTTCAGCAATTTCAATTTCTCTTCGTCCAAACTCTGCCTGTTTGATGTTCTTGACACAGAAGTCACTGCTTCCCTTAGAGTTCTTTTGCTGCTTGTCCCTGGGAGATGTCTCATCATCAGAGCTATCTGTATATGATGCCGCTGAAAGGACAGAATAAAAAACCCTCAGGGGGAAAAATGGCTTACTTTAAAACTCCAAACCATGGAGGGAACTGAGGCTTCTCTGGTCATCCAGCACTACACACCTGTACACAGCTGGTAAGCACCTAAATGGCACTGTGGAGCTGTCCCCATCATTTATGGGGTCAGAAAGAGGAAGCTGAGAGAGGTTGTCCAAGACATTCCCCCTGGATAGCATTAACTTGGAATCTAGGGCTGCCTTTATTTTCAGAACATGTAGAGGTCCTTGGATATGCAAAAATAGAGAGATTACACCATGGTAGCAATAGGTTGAAGTTCTAAATGCAAGATCATGGTCATGAATCTAAGGGTTTCTGGGATTCTAGCTACCTTTCTTGGTCTGCTGTTTAAATGCTTGATGTAATTTGTGTTTTAGTACAATAACTAAATAGATAAGACCTAGAAAATTAGGAACCCATGGCTAAAGTAATTAAGAACCACACAAAAAGTGTTTGTCTGCCATAACAAAGCTTTCTTTTTCAAGACTGGCTCTGATGAGGCTGAACTATGCCTGCAGACCCAATTAGACATTGACAATGAAGTATTCAGCCTGCTCTCCCTTATTGCTGGCCTCTGTTGGTCCTGCATTAGGCATTTTAGAATCCCAGAGAAATGATAAATCCTCTTTGGCATAATCAAATGCTCTCTTGACAAACCCATTTAGCAATACACACTTTCATTGAGGATGAGGCCCAGAAATCAGGATTTTAAAAAGATTCCCAGGTGATTCTAATGTGCAGCCAAGGTTGAGAACCACTGCACTAGAAGGTGAGAGGTATAAGACTTTTGATTGTGGCTAATAGGCAGCAGCAGCAGCTGCTGCTATTCCCATGATTAACTGAGGTCTTCATTTAATTCTGTAGTTGCTGGTTGTTAGCTGGATGATTTGAATCAGTTTCCTTCCTTGATTTATGTTTAAGGTTCTGTGGATAGTTTCTTCCTAAGGAGTCATCAAGGTTTTGGAGGAGGGAGGTTGGGGAACATAAAGTACTGTCTATATATTTCCCAAAGAGATAAGAAGTACTTCCATCACTTTTAAGGGGAGAAACCTGCAAAGTCTCATAGTCCCTGAGGTCTCTAGTACTCTGATCTACTTATATCCCGAGAATTAGGACATTTTTGGGATTTCTTAGCCAAGGGTCTATCTCTGGGAGGGCTGTAAAAGGCAAGTCTGACCTTGCCCAGTTAATCAGGCATGGCACTGCAAAATGTTTGGGCAGTAGGGGCCTCAGTGTCTCTCTTGGAGCTGGAAAACAGCCGTAGAGCAAAGTCCTAACACGAGGCAACAAGAATGAGCTGAGTCACCAGGGGAGGGGAGGAAATTAATAAATCCCCAAAGAGACTTTTGTTCTTGAAAGGAGCTAATCTGTACAAAAAGTCTATGGTTCTCCCTCCTAGGGTGAGTGAGAGCTCAAAGTACCTTTGGCAACAGAGCCCAGAAACAGCTTCCTGGGCAGTCATCTGTTTCACTAATCAATACTCAGAATAGCTTATGAGTTGGAAGCTGAGGGAACCATGCTTCCACCACCTCAGAGAAGAAAATAACAGCCATCCCTAACCCTGATCCAATTTATAGGATAATTGCTTTTGAAGAAAGTGTTTACATTCAGAACACAGAAATTTCAAACCTTTTCCCAGAGCCATGATGATTTTTATGTCCTCAATGGCTATTTAAATATAGTGGTTATGTGTTCTGGAGTCAGACAGACTTCGGTTGAAGTCTCATTTCCTGTTTCCAGGTGAATAAAGTAGAGATGATACTAAAACCTATTTAATAGGGTTGTTAATTCATTCATGTATTCAGTCATTCAAATTCACACAAAAATTCAACAAAATTTTATTGCATATCTGCTATGTACCAGGCACATTCTAAGTTGGCCGTGGGCAAACTATGGCCCGCGGGCCGGATCCGGCCCGTTTGAAATGAATAAAACTAAAAAAAAAAAAGACTGTACACTTTTAGTAATGATGTTTACTTCGAATTTATATTAGTTCACACAAACACTCCATCCATGCTTTTGTTCCGGCCCTCCGGTCCAGTTTAAGAACCCATTGTGGCCCTCGAGTCAAAAAGTTTGCCCACCCCTGTTCTAAGTGCTAGGGATAAGGACAGATATAGGCTGTCTTTACCTTCATTGAGTTTTCATGAAATAACTAATTATGAAAGTAATCATTTAGAGTTTCTCTTTCCTTGTGGTTACAATATGTACTATGAAGCAGACTGTACAATAGGCAGAAATGGCTTCTCAAAGTCAAGTTTTTAAGAAGATTAAATAAGATAATGTAAGTAAAGTGTTTAGAGCAATGCTTGGTGTAAAGCACTCAATAAATGATACCTGATATTACCACCAGCTTTTACACATATTTTAAATGCAGTAGCACACATAACATCTTCAAGGTTTCTTATTCAGCTTTAGGATTTTGAATGGGAAAGGAGTAACATACATACAATATTATTTAACAGTTTTTTTTCTACCTCTGCCATTTACTAATCTACCCAAGCAGCAGGTGGTTGGGCTGGCAGTGATTGAAAAGGTTGAGGCTGGAGTCCTGACTCTACCCAGAATGGCTCTTCTCTCCTATGCCTCTTTCAGCTTCTAAAGGTGAGTCAGGGGGGAAAAAACAAACAGAAAACTACGACAAAACCCCAAAATTTCCCCTTAAGAGAAGCACACTAATTTTTAACTTGAGTTGTTTTCTTCCAACTCAAAGAAAAAAGTTATTTATACCACTTTCCTATTCTAAAATGAGAAAAAGCACATCCCAAAAACAGTATTCTATTTTCTTAACAGTAGTTAATTGGTTGTAGTTAATTCAACCAATGTGGGTGTGTTTGTTTGTTTGTTTTTGAGCCAAAATGAATTTGTTTTCAAAGAGCCCTTGATATAGATCTGTTATCAGGCAAGAAAGAAAAATACCAGTCATCTAGATTGTGAAAGTATATGAATGCAAAATGGCTGACAGGCCCAGACTGAGTGTTACTTCTGCAAGCACAGTGGAAAGATTATTCCTGAACTAGTGTGACATTCATTACATAAATGAATAAAAGATTATTCCTGAACTAGTGTGACAGAAATATAGTGGCAGCATACTCATTGCTGCCACTATATTTAAAGTACCACATTCATGAAAATAGCTGAGATAGCCTTAAACATTTTCCTGGGGAAAAGCAGAGAAATCCAACACATATGTATACACACACTTGAAAAGTTTCTAAAGTGTTTGTTCTTGTCAGCACACTCTGAAGCCCAGAGTCATGACTTAATTAAAAATGAATGAGCAATCACCAAGGCAATAACCTACTGAAGTGCAGGCCTGAGACCTCAGCTCTTGCTTCACCTCTAATTAGTTATGTGACCAGTTTTCAATTTATCCAACTGTAAAAGAGAGTGTATAACAGAGCCCCTCTCTCCCTTTCCTCTAACTAAAACCAGAAAAATCTTATGAATAAATGAGATAATACCAAAAAAGGTTCAACTTGTAGATAGAAAAGTAATATGAAGTACAATAAAATGTTCCCATGAGATATTGTCTTATTTCATGATATCCCAGGATCAAATCATAACTTGATGAATCACTAATCCAAAATCTATCCCATAGAACATGCATACATATGTTCTACGCCTCACACCTGATTAAGTCTTACCTCCTAGCAGCTGTGATATTGTGGGTTATTGCTAGGAGAAGAAGCAGTCAGACTCCTGGTTGAATTAGTCCTATTAGACTATTTTAAGTCAGGCAATTCCTCTTGGGCCCAATCTATTCATTTGGTAATGGAAATAACAGTAGGGACCTGTGTGTCAATGTGCAGCAGATTTCACTGATGAGTAACACTCTAGAAACATGTGAAAAGCTATGTTAGCAACCAAAATACAAATAAACAAAATGTTATTATTTGAAAAAAATATTAGAATACTTCAACCAATTATGACCTAAGAGACTGCAGTCTTCCCTCCTTATCCTTAACCAATTAATTCACTGCAAAGACAGCTTTTTCAGAAGTATATTACTGAGAATGATCTGGCTTTGAGAAACATCTTCTGTTCATTTATTTTTATGAGGTTTTGTGCTTAGGGAAAGAGTTTTTAGAAATTATTTTATATAAAATAATTTTAGAGGTTAATGCAGCCTTTTTCAACCTAGCATTAGCCTTGAAGCATCCATTAAATATATGAATTAACTTTTCTCCAATGCATCTCAAAGGGTACTAGTTATGACCCATCCTTTGGAGAACTAAGAAAAAGTCTCTCATCATTTTCTGTGTTCTGTGATTCAGATGAGGAACCCTGGTTGAGAAAGCCTGGCAGAAGTTCCTAAATGAAAACATTTTGTAATGTCATAAACCTTCTTTTATCTGTTTACATGCACAGAATATATCAGAGACCTCAACAAGGGAGTAAAGTATAATAAAATCTCTGGACACCTTTCACCAATATTTACTCATTGAGCACCTCTCATGTGTCAAACACAATTCCAAGTGGTGGAAACAGAGCAATACAAAACAGGCAGAAATCTCTGCTCTCATGGATCTCATGTTTAAGGGGAGAAAAGATAACAATAAATTAGTAAAAATATACGTTATATGATAAGTGCTATGGAGAAAAATTTGATAGGGAGTGTTGGGTGGGTTGTTTGTACAATTTTATTTTATTTTATTTTAATATTTTTATTGATTTCAGAGAGGAAGGGAGAGGGTGAGAGAAACAGAAACATCAATGATGAGAGAGAATCATCGATCGGCTGCCTCCTGCACACCCCCTACTGGGGATCGAGCTCACAACCCAGGCATGTGCCCTTAATTGGAATTGAACCTGGGACTCTTCAGTCCACAGGCCAACGCTCTATCCACTGAGCCAGGGCTGTTTGTACACTTTTAAAAGAGAAGCCTGGATAGACCTATTTTGAGAGGGGATCTTTTGTTAATAATTGGAGGTAAGACCCAACTAGGGTATCTTAGAGCATTCCAGGCAGAGGGAATAGCAAGTGCAAAAGTCTTAAAGCAGGAGAGTTTCAAAATAACAAAATAACAGTAAGAAGGCTAGTATGACTGGAGTGAAACGAATAACTGGGGGAGGCAGGAGGTTTGTGAAAGTAGAGATGTGATTAGAAATGTATTAGGAGGCTGAATGGTATACCTTGTCGGCCATTGTAAGAATTTTAGGCTTTACTCAGAGTGAGATTGGGAAGCCATCGGAGGATTCTGAGCTGAGAAGTGATATGACCTAACTTATTTTAAAATAATTAATCTTGCTATAGTATTGTCAACAGACTGAAGAGAGACAAGGTTGGAACTCAGGAGCTCAGCTTTTAAGATATGGGAGGTTTGAGATGCCTAAAACACCCAAGTGAAAGGACTGAGTAGGCAATTCAATACAAAGATCTAGTATATAGGGGAGAGATTTGAGCTGGGGATAAAATTTGAGTATCAAATGCCACTACTATGTTGTATTTAAAACTATGAGACTGAATGAGGTCACTTGGGGAGAGAATATAAACAAAGAAGGGAAGAGGCCCAAAGGTCAGTCTTTGGGGTTCTGTAATGTACATTTCTAGAGTCACTTAAGTTATAACGTATGCTGAAAGTGTGTTCCAAGTTCTTACTGACATGCATTTGCATATCTTCTTGTATTTAGAAAGCTTTAAGTCAAATCCATTATTCCTGGCTTCTCATTCAATGGGTTTGGAGCTTTTTTTGTGTTACCTGATATAATTTCCCACTGCCTCTGTTACTAATTCATAGGCGACAAGTTTTCCAGGATCATACAACAAATCACACATGCATCTAAGACTAGAAACTAGTTCTCTCCCAACTCTCAGTCCAAGACTCAAGGCAGTAGACCTCTCCATTTGGAGTATGTTTAAGAGGACTTCAAAATTGTTCATGTAAAAAAAAACAAAACCATAAAACAAAATGAAGTAACAGTATATGTGACACAGATGCAAAAGAAATAAACATATTTTTGGGATTCATTTTAAAAGCACTGAGTTTATGGAAATAACACTTCCTACAGATTAGTTCAAACCATATCTGGAATATTATATACATAGGCATAATATTTTTAAAGAAAAACTTAATCTGGAATATACCCAGATGAGGATAGCCTTGACAGTGGGATGACCCCCAAATGGTGATTTTTATTTCTAATTCTAGGTAAAATCTTTAAATTCGAGGAATTGTAATACCAGGTTTCGGATTTGATCCCCGGTTGGGGTGGGTGTGGGAGGCAACCGATTGATGCTTCTCTCTCATATTGATGTTTCTCTCTGTCTCTCTCTTCCTCCCTCTCTAAAGTCAATTAAATAATAATAACAAAAATAAATTCCAATAACTAGAAGAGTTTATCAGGAGCTAAATAACTAGATAAATGAAGGGTTACCCTATCATTTAAAATGCTCCCAAAGAGGTCAGATAGCTATTTGCAGGGTTGCCATCAAGGCAATTCCAAGCATCCAGTAGAAAGCTGAAAAACTGACCTTTAAGTCCTTTTTCATTTCCAGAATGTTTTGACTTCAATGCTCTGGAGCTTAATACCCTTAAATGGATATATTGTAGTTGATAATTTTTTTTACTATAAAAATGGCAACTTAAAAGGTCCACGTTTTCCACAGTGTCACCAGTTAATGTCACCCACCAATAAGTTTACAAGCCAACTATGTGTTCGCTTAGAAACCAAGTGCATCAACACACTCTCCTAGGTAAACCGATATTTTGTAGGTATACTCCCTGCATATAGGGGCTCATTGGAAAGGCAGGCATTAGTTTTTCTCTGCAGGAACACAGTTGGAAATATGGATCTAGTGTGTAGGGAATAAACTGAGTTGGAGTTAAAATTTAGTATAGTTATTATTTAGTATCATCTTTAGAAAACATGCACAAACTATTAGTCTAAAAGTTTATACCCTGTTTTACAATTCACATTTTCACAATTATTAAAGTTTCCAGAGTTATATTAGCTGGTTTATGAATTTCCAACACTGGTTATTTCAGCAGAGTAAGATTGGTACCACATTTGGTGTCCGCAGACAAAAATCCATAGGAAATGATCTCATGTGCTTTACATCATTCAGTTATTGTGGGGAGAAAGTAAAAAATGAAATGTAGAAAAAAAAATGTAAATAATCTGTCAATCTAAAAGTTACAGTTTTCTAAACAAGCTTTCTTCAAGTTTACATAACAAATACTGCTTTCCTAATTGTGTGAAGAGCAAATAAAACTTCAGGTCATGATGAAAACTTTCTAATGAATATTACTACTTATAATATGAAGAGATAACTCAGTTTCCTACCACATTCCAACACAAGAGCAAAATAAAATAGCTCCATATTAGATCAGACACATACTGGGCACTGTTGCACAAATGGCCAATGCCTTCGAGGGGTTTTACATGGTAACAGCTCATCTGGCATTAAATGATAAGACTCAGGACCCATATATTTGAATTAGTGCCACTGCAAAGGAAGAAAGGAGTAGTAAGCAACAATATCACAGCTTAGAAGAGAAGGCAAAGGGCTCACTTGAACTAGCTACAATGTTTTCATGTTTGTTGGGGCAATTAAGGTTTCCCCATTAATATCCAAGTACCCGATGGAAGGATGGGGAACCCCTCTTCTATATTCAAAGAAAGGAAAAACAAGTCTTAATACATGTTGTTTAGTGAAGTTCATCAGTGAGCAACAAACTCCTTCCCACCCTCTGAATAAGTCAGAACTCAGTTTCCTTAATAACCTTCTTCTACCTTTATTGGAAAAAGAGGCTTCTATTAAACTCCACTTTGAATCCCCAAGAGCAAGCATGTCAAACTCGCAGCCCACGAGTCGCATACCACGTTTATTTGGCCTGCGTTAGCCTTTGAGTTTGACATGCTTGCCCAAGAGGAATCCAAAAATTCCATCTAGAATTTTGGTCTGAATTTCAATTTAGAGACAAAGTGTTTATTCCAAAGCATGGGCTTGACCATGCTTAATTAGCCTTGGGCAGGCAATGGGGTCTATTGGTCATACCTCCGTAAAAGTTCAGTACTCACCTGAACTGTAGCTGTCAGTAGATGACTGAGAAATAGAACGAGACAGAGAGCGACGTCCAATTTTGGTGGGACGTTTGTTGAATTCTTGCTTCTGGTCAGCAAACTGGATCTGCTAAGAAAAAGGACTCTAGTTACATAAAGGAAAACAACCTCTGTTTTGAGATAACATTTCAAGGTAGCTGATCTAACTGTACCAACCCATCTTTAGAATGTTAACACTCTGGAGAGAAGAATGATTTTTCATTCTTTACTTACTATATTTTCATCAAATTTAAATATTCGATCCACTCTCTGACTATATGCTTTTATTTTATTACTAGAGGTCCAGTGCATGGATTCATGCACCGGTGGAGTCCCTCAGCCTGGCCTGTGCCCTCTCGCAATCCAGGACCCTTCAGGGGATGTCAAGGAGCCTGTTTCGCCCCGATCCCCGCAGGCCAGGCCGAGGGACCCCACTAGTGCACAAATCCATGCACCGGGTCTCTAGTATGCATATAAGATCTTTGGTTAATCTCTTCCTGCCCTCCCCCTTCCCCCCTTTCCTCTGAGATTTATCAGTCTGTTCCATGTTTCCATGCCTGTGGTTTCCGCTCCTGCATTGAACATCTGCCCCCTGGTGGTCAGTGCGCATCATAGCTACTGGATGGTCACTTAGGCTTTTATATATATATATTTTTATTATTTTTTTTAAAAAATCCTCACCTGAGAGAGTGGAAGGGAGGGAGGAGGGAGAGAAACATTTACTGGTTGCCTCCTGCACGTGTCCCCACTGGGATCAGGGATTGAACCTGCAACCAAGGTACGTGCCCTTTGACTGGGAATCAAACCCTTGACCCTTTGGTCCGTGGGCCACCACTCTAACCACTGAGCAACCAGCCAGGGCTATATGCTTTTTACAATAAAATTGTGACAAAAAATAAATAAAAGAGAGAGAGAGGGAGAGAGAGAATGAGATGTTCTGGTTAATCCCTAGAGTGCCGGGGAGGGCGATCCAGCTCCTCCTGTCTTTCGCCAAAAGTGCCGAGAGTTCTGCGCGCTCCTCCTGCAGTGTCACTATTAGATGCTAGTATAGTTCACTTTTTATTGACAAATGGCACCTAAGTGCAGAAAACAAATGTAGTAAAGGTTTCCTTAAGTTTTTGAATATGTAACTTCATTTACTTGCAATTCATAATTTTTTTCCTAAACTGCTGTAAAATCAGCAAAAATGCCTTGGCAATTTTAGCATAGTTCCTAGGATACTGGTTGGCACTCAAAGGGTTAAAATTAATTTTTACAAAGTTGAGTCATATTCAGAAATTCTTTCTATAGTTTCGCTGAAAATAATTTTGAGACTATCCCAATTTTCACCTATCTAGATGAGAAATTGCAAGGTACAGGAAGGTAAAGTGACTTGCCTTCAAGGTTTTAAGATTCTCAGGAAATGGTTTCGTATAATGAAAAAAATACATAGGCTTTCCATTCAGACAGAACGTTCCGGGACTGCATTAAAATACTGGCTATGCCACTCACTACCTATGGGATGTTGGTCAAGAAGTTTCTATGAGCCTCGTTTTCTCATAAATACAGCAAAGATGAAAAAACCTCACAAGTTTTGGAGAGGGTTAAATGAAACAATGTATGGGCATACTTTGTTTTATTGTGCTTCACAGATGTTGCATTTTTGTTGTTGTTGTTTGTTTGTTTGTTTTTACAAATTGAAGGCAAGACACTCCACCAGCAAAAGATCACAATTCTATTGCGGTGGTCTGGAAACAAACCCCCATATCTCTGAGGTACGCCTGTATGTAATCTGTGAAAAAAAAGCAGGAGACTCAATACATCCACTCCCCCACTCCAGCCCCTACAGTTTATAAATCTTCTTATAGCTCTTGCAGATAGTCACTATAGTTTTTTAAAAATATATATATTTTATTGATTTTTTACAGAGAGGAAGGGAGAGGGACAGAGAGTTAGAAACATCGATGAGAGAGAAACATTGATCAGCTGCCTCCTGCACACCCCCTACTGGGAATGTGCCCGAAATCAAGGTACATGCCCTTGACTGGAATCGGACCTGGGACCCTTTAATCCGCAGGCCGATGCTCTATCCACTGAGCCAAACCGGTTAGGGCTAGTCACTATAGTTTTTAAAGATGTATTAATTAGCTTTTTAATACTAGTTAGTACAGTAAACATTAATTTATTGTTTTTAATGCTTGCTATCATAAAATACCTAAAAGCCACAAGAGTGGTCATTTATTAACTATAACATGACAGATGTAGAAGAAGTGAATAAGTGTCCTGAAAATGTATAAACCTCAATACTCGAGATTGCATTTTGGACACTATCTGACAATGAGTTTCTTGCACTTTTATCTCTTCTCCTACTATTGGAGGTTCCAGCTGCTACTTTTTATCACTTTACCAATCAAAGCTCATATAATTTCAACAAATAACTTTTTTCTTTTTCCCCTAACTAAAATTTTGCATAATTGCTTAAATTATTCTGGATCCCAGGTGGCAAGGAGGCAGGAAGCATCAAAGATCTGACAACTGGTTCTACCTTTCATAATAAAAAGATGGTTCCCTGATGGGCAGAACACAGACACAGCATATCAGAATGAGAGCAGCAACTGACCTCCATTTCCTGCAGCTAGAGGTAATTACTAAGTCATTGGAGTATTGAGACAAAGGAACCAATGACAAATTGAATTAGCTTAGCATGCCTTTCAGGGGAATTCATACCATTTTCATAGCTGTAGCAACATAGGAAGCCTATGTAGCACTTCCGAGTTTGTAAATTATTTTCCACAATAGGAAAATTCATTGGATTAGAAGTTCTTTGCAAAATGAAAAAGGGCAAAACTGATTATTTTGCTAAATAGGTAAAGTGCCCTTTCTATGAACTCCCATGGGATATACATGAACTTCCATGTACATCTCCTATCACAGTACTTATTACACTGAATATAACTATAATATAAGCAATTGGCTCTATAAAGGCAGGAGCTATGTATGTAAGGGTGACCTTACATTCTCAGACACAAATGCCTGACACATGGTAGGCAGTCATGTGCTGAAATGAATCTGAAGTAGCCTAGTCTATCTTCACTGTCTGTACGTGGTTGAAGATTAAGTAAACATGGTAAGCATAAACCAAGCTTAAAGTTAAAAGAAGTTTTAAGGGCAAAAAGAGTTGGGAAGGGGAGGAAGGTGGGTGTGAAGATGGGGAGGAAGATAGCAGTCAAGCTCAGAACTCTGGTTTCCATTTCACCAACCTTGTTTAAGACAATGACTTATTTTTATTCTTTTTTAGAGGCGCATCTAGAAAAAGGAGTAATAACTGACCTTCCAAAGGTCACAATGAGTCACTAACTTTAGCCTCCTTAAAAAAGAATAGATAAACCCGCCTGAGTTAACAAGCCCTCCCCCCGCC